CGCCTCTTCGTCTCTTTCCTGTTCATTAACCACAGAAGTGAACACATAATATAAGCATGCACCAAAGGGACAAGTTTCTATTGGAGTTAAACTTTAACTATTTCTATTCTTAATATAATAAAAAACATGTTCACAGTGATCAGTGCTGAGGCTCATGTCAGATATGGTTGCAGAATGAACAAAGATCCATGAAATAGGTTAAGCAGTTGATCTTTATCTTTAATTACATAGAAGTAGTAGAGGACTGCAGGCACAAACCCTCCTGTATAAAAACTAAAATCTAAATCTTAAAGGCAGGAATATTGTATAAGCCATCCGGGGTTTATTGTTGTAAAGAATATGTTTATTTGTATTTGTTGTCGATTTTTTGGTTAATATACTAACTTTAGAATGTCAAAGTAGGACATTCTACATGATTGTATCGTATGACTGCCTTCTAGTTTAGAGGAGAACTGCACGTTCCAGAGGTTCCAGAGCACAAGGAAACAAAACGTACAACCTCAGACTCACTCCCAATCAAGAAGGTCTGTAGTCCAATAATCTCTGTTGATTTACATTCTAAATTAACAACAGCATAAATATCTTATAGTACTACAAAACACACTAACTTTAAATACTGCTTTGGATTTCAATTGGTTATGTTACTTACTGTTCATTTTTACTCTCGTTTTTCAAAGTCAAAAAGCCATCACTGCATAAAAACAAGAAGTTCTGTTTAATTCCTAGGGAAACCCCCACAAACGTCTGGAATGCAGTGCTAATTAAAAAACTAACACATATTACTTCGGTGTGGCCGGCTGCCGGCGGGGCCCGCGGACTCGTCCCCGCGGCTCCCCGGGGCGCCGGCATGGCGGTGGTTGGGGGGCTTCTTCGTGGCTGTCTCTCCTCCTCCCTTGGTGGGGGTCTGATTTCCGGGGCTGGCCCCGCCTTGGTGCCTTCGCTTCTGGGGTCCCTTTGGGCGCCTGGGGCTTTGGGTCTCCCGGCGCTGGACTCAGTGCTCTGGGGGTGTGCCTCTCCGGCTCTCCACAACCACTATTGAGCATTTTTTCTATGGTTAAAACTTTACATGCACAAGTTCACCCTCACAAACAACTACAGGTGCTAGGCTTCAGGTACTTAGAGATTCACTTCCAAACAGAAACCCCACATTCATATCTTCAGGTAACACAGAGTACATGTCAGACTTAATAATATTACTTTAGCGATAGTTTCAAGGTGTTTGCTTTATTGTATATCTCGTACCATGTCTTTTGGTTGTGCTGTTCTTTTTTTTTCTCATCTCATTGCAGGTGATGAAGCAGACTGAAAATGTTTTGTCATTGTCTCCTTCCTATCTCCTCTTTCTTTCATCTTTTGTCCTTTTTTTTCTTTTTCTTTTTCCTTCTTCTTCTTCTGTTTTTCTGCTCTACTTACATTGCAGTGTCCATATGAACTGTAAAACTCCCTGCATAATTATAATAAAGCAATTTATATACATGAAACAAGTGGAGCAGTATGGCAATTGCGATACCGCTACACTTGTGAAAGTAAAATCTGTTGGGCTCCTTTTGGCATCAAGACAATTATTCTTATTGGCACCTTGCCAGACAGGACACTGTAAAAAAAAAATAAAAAAAACAAAAAAAAAACTAACACATATTTTACAACTTTGTAGTTTTGAATGTCTTTATTGCATAAGTAAGATTCAATTAAATTTTAAGTCTAAGCAGAACTGGATAACATATCGAACAGATTTACTGTATAGAGTTATTTTAACAACAAAGAAATATAATGTTTTTTCCTTTTCAGATATGTATTCCCCCTATTAGGAAAATCTCAAGGTAGGACAAATTTAGTCAAGTTAAATGCTTCTTTTCTTTTAAAATTTAAAACACTGCTGTTTGTTATATTAAAACATAATTAGCTCCACCAAGGACGTTAAGTTTTTGTCTGCGTTGGTTTGTCTAGTGTTTGTCTCATTTCAAAATACCAAAAAAAGTTGTGAATGGACTTTGCAGAAATTTTCATAGAAGGTGCGTGTTGTTACTGCCAAAAAATTATGAAATTTTGTTGATGATGTGCGTCCCCATCTGGATCAAGGACATTTTTGAAAGCTGTGAATACAGGTATTAACTTAAGGTGGAAGTTACAATATGTTGGAGGAAATAAGTTGCTTGGAGGAGATGTGCCCTCTCAGTGTTTTTCATTTTTTCTAAATATTTCACCGGTTTTACAAACCATAACATGATAGATGAAATTTAATTTGTTTACTGAGTTATATTAACTTTGGTTCTTTATTTATCTTTTATTTAAAATTGGTTGAAAGTGAGGCCATGTAGAGAGTGCTGCAATAGATTGGTAGCCATGTGAACCTCTCTATCTATGCAAAAACCCTTTTTTAAGAGCTCCGCTTTTATGAAACCAGCTGCAATGGTTTGCATGGAGGCTTCAATGTATTTCTTTGTTGCTTGTTAAAGTCTGCTTCCTGCTTTTCATGTTGATTTTGTAATAAACATTTACATAGAGAGGCTGTTCGTGATGAAATTCATGACACGCACTCATCTTGTCATCTTGTGTCATACTATCCTTGTGGGGACTTACCATGACTTCCATAACCCCCACCACAAAGAAATAACTTTTTCTCATGGTGACCAGAGGGGGGCCCAATAAGTACCTATAAGTCCCCAGAATGTAGCATATTCATGGGAAATTGTCCTCACCAGATGACCAAAACATGGCCACACACAAAAAAGTAGGATACATGTGCATCGTTCAGTATATTACGTGAGCCACAGAGCCAAGGTGGAAGACCCCGAACTAACAGATGAAAACTGGGACGTTTTATTAATAGGGCTGGAGGTTGAAGCAGACTGTAATTACTAAATAACTTCTAAAGAGAATCGTAGATGCAAAGGAATATCAAATTGGGCCAAGGGACAAATCATTTACAATCTCCCCTGTCAGCGCATGCCATCATAATTTTTTTTTTTAGTATTACACTGCAACAGCTGATCTAAAAAAGTAAAGATTTGTTTAAAAAGATTAATAAGATGATCAGCAAAAGTAATAAATATTTCTGCTCTATACAAAAAATATATCTATACAAAGATATATAAATTTAACGCACTGAAAATAACACATTAGAATAATTTTTTCTATTTGAAACATATCATCTTATTTGGTTTGCAAATGGTCTTGCCTATCTGCTCAAATTAAGGGGAAATGAAACAAAAAAAAAAAACTTAATTAATTTGTAGAAGGACTTCAATTTGAATTTATGAAATGTTTTTGGTACAGGGGGCCATAACAGGGGCCAGGACCTGTTCTATGGGGGCAATGGGTCCTGTTGGCCCCTGACCGGAACCAAGCATATTTGTGTACTTTTTTAGACATATTGATATGAAGGTTTGTTTCACGGCCAAGGTTTTTCCTTTGGCTCCCTCCTGTGTTAGACATTGGATCCACAGCCTCAGCTGCTACTCCGCCAATGCTAGAAACTGGATTCCATATGGAATAGTCAAATCAAAAATGTTCACAGTCTGTTGGGAATATTGCTGTTGTTTAACTGTATCACTCAAAAGCACAATCCCATAAAACTTCTACATAAATACGTTGTTAATTCTCTCATCATTTTGCACAGCTTTGTGTTTAATATGTCCGGCACAACACTGCTGATTGATCCATTTTATTTAACCACCTGGAAAACTGGGCAGGCCTTTCTGATGCAGCACTGGACTGGTTTATCCTACATGAAGGACAGAAACTTATTTGTGTCAGATGGTAAGTTTACATCAGAGACCAGAAAAATGTGGCTTCTCCTAAGGGTCCATTTTAGGGACCCTGTTCAATATCTACATGTTACCCTTAAATCAGATTATAATAAACAACGACATAAGTTACCATAACTATGCAAACGACACACAGCTGTTCGTTATAGTATCACCAGATCTCGATTAACCCCTGCAAGCATAGAAGAAAGCAAAACATGTGCCAAACTTTTCTGATAAGTCTTTGGATCAGAAGAAGAGTGTTAACAACTTAAGAAACAGCGTCAGTTAGCAAAGCAGGAAACCACCAGTCAGGCTTCAAATCTGGGTGTAGTGATGGACTTAGAAATGAACCTTCAGAGGAACATAAAGGCAGTAACAAAATGAGTATTCTACGACCTAAAGACCATATTTAGCATTAAAGGACAACTGTGTCAGCAGGATCTCGAAAATACAAATTTGTGCGTTCATCTTTAGTAGAAATTATTACTCTAATAGTGTCTGCTTGAAGAAAAAAAAACAGTCTGCATGCAAAAAAAACGATAAGACAGCTGCAGTTGACACTGAAAAAGTTAAGATCATCACCCCAATGCTAAAATCCTAATACTGGTCCCTGTACTTCAAAGAATAAACTTTAAAATACTTCTAGTCTCTAAATCACTGAATGACTTAGCGACAAAATAGATTACAGATTTGCTGTCAGTGTATCTACTGCCCAGAGCTGTCTGGGTTTTTAGTCTACTCTGCAGACCGAGGACCAAACAAGAAGCAACATTTAGTTCTGATGCTCCACATATTTAGAACAAACTCCCAGAAATATTTTAACTGTGAAACCCTCAGTCGCTTTAAATTGAGATTTAAAACATGTTTAGAGTGGCCTTCTAAACACCATTAACTTAAACTCATAGACCAACTTTCTTTCATTATGTTAGGCATTATATTTATTACTGGGTATTTTATTTTTCTGTTTTATAATAATTTCATCATTTAAATTATTATTTATTTTTTTACTCACTCTAGTTATTGAATTATATTATTAAATTACCTTTATGCTACAGCAATGCACATTTCTTTTATATCAAATAATTTTGACTAATTTAAAACACTGTTCAGTAGCAATACAATTGCTAATGTTTCATATTAATAAACTTGCCTTGCTTTGCCTTGTCTCTGGCAACTGTACAACAATGTCAACAAAATTATTGACTCTTGGAACAAACAATTCAATAACAACAACAAAATAATAATTTTTTTGCTTTTTTAAAGCATTCACATCCATCATTTTAGGTCTGGAAAATGGACCTCATGAGATACAGGGATTGGTTTGCCTCTCTGTGTTTGGAAAAAAATATCACATTGTGATATAACAATATCTTTATATTTCAGTGTCTCAGCTCGTGCTTTCATGCAGGTTGTATCAGAGTCATGGCAGCAGCGTTGACTGTGAATGCTGCTATGCTGATTTGGCGCTTCACTTCCTGCCAGGCCTTCTCTGGGTCAGCTGAGTTCTCAATGTCAAACAGTGCGTCGTATATCCCAGGAAAAGACTCCCCTGCATATTTGTTATGGCTGCTGGGAGCAAAAATCACATGCCTGAAAAACAGGGTAGAGATTATGGGGGAGGGGAGAAACAACATTGTGTTACTGAATGTGCTGAAGATATCTGAGACATCATATTGGTGTAAGCCTATTCCCTGAAAACATGCTCAGTGAAAACAGGAGGGTAGTTAATCCTATTTATTGCTAATAAGGAGAAATACAATTTATGAATTTTTATAAAGAGCTAGGAGTCTTTAACCACACAAAACTATTCTGTAGATGCTTAAATCATGTCCACTTAGTCATGTCCAGCTCCTGTAACTGCGTGTAACAATTGTTACAATCTGCATCATTAACCTAGTCCTCAACATCTGATTGGTTAAACAGCACAGCTCATCATCCTCAGAACAGTTATCATGGTGATAGTAGTGTTTTAGTACTAACCAACTTTAGTGAGAAAAAATTTGAAAACAAACAAATCTTGATGTGATTTCATAATTGTTCAGTAAATATTTGGAGTTTCAGTCACTGAAGTGGAAACAATATATTTGATGCTGATTGGTCAGAAGTTTGCTAATGGTGGAAGTGAACCAATTAGATGTGAGGTGATTATTCTCCAGCTTCCCTGGTTCTCTTGCTTCCTTTTCTAAAAGCCTTATAGTTTAGTGATCATAGCTAAAATTCTTGTTCTTAGAGTTTGGAAATCTCCCAATCCCCCATTCAGGAGTGAAAAGTGGATATTATTGCATTTTTTCTTTATTGAAGCAGTTCACTATATGTTCATTGAACATAATTCTAATTTTGCTGAAATGTCGGTTTCTTTTACCGTTACATTATATAATCTTTAATTCACCTTTCCCTGTTCCTAATCTCTTTTTAGAACTGCTCCTTACACTGGTTTTGTTTAGTATAACAATAATTCTACTGCATATCTGTTTCCCTGCCTAAATTCCCACAGAAGAATACATTTTCTTGGATTCAATTAGTTTGGGGGATTTAGTGTTTTAAACTGGCTGAACGCTTCATCTTTTGCTTGGTTTGTTTTTGTTGTTTTACTTATTTATTTTTATTTATTTTTACATATGTTGTTCTTAGTGTTGTTTATTTTATGACCACTGTTTTTTTTTTGTATTATTATGTTCTGAAAACGCCACATTAATTTTTACAAAAAGACTCGAGGCAAGTGAATAATGAGGACTGCATATTTTCCCCAGTGACATAGAAAAATGACTCTGGTCAGATATAGTCATGTGGTCAGAACCATGGATGACCATGTTTCTGGTGAAGCTCACTGTCCATTTAGTGGAGGACATAATCACCACGTAGACAATTGTTGAAGCAAATAATTGTTGAGACAAATTTAAAAAAATATACGTTGCCATCATTTTAATTACATTTTTTTTTTAGCCCAAGTTTCCCTGATGGAGATTCTTGTTGTATGCAAATCACTTCCTGTAAGACACCCAGACAGCCATCTTTAAAGGAATAAATAATTTCCTAAATATCCCTGACCTGTTGTCACTGAGGCTTAAGAGACAACAGGTTAGGGCTATTTAAGAAATAATTTATTCCTCTAAAGATGCTTCTTTCAGTTTATGATGCCTTCTTTTAACTTTTAATTAATACTTATCTAAATAAACATTACTTTTTTTAGTTTCTTTGTCCTTCATAAATGTGGAATGATATTTGTTCTGTAAAATAAACATCCATGTCTAACCTGTAAAAGGGTCTGCCTGGTAAGCCAAGCGGGTCGATGAAGGCTCTCTCTAGGTACATGAGCTGGTCGTTCATGATTCGCACCTGTAAAGGACTACCACATAAGAAATACCACTGCTTATTGTGAGAATGAACTGTCTCAATGTATTTAAATGATGGGGTTAAACAAGTTACTTCATAGGATTTAATATTTTACCATAGATGTATAAAAATTTCAAATTCTTACTCCTCAGTGTTCAGAGTTCGCAGGTGCTCATGGAAATCTCCGGCTGCAGCAGTGAAGTTATCCACAGCAGAAAACAGAGGCTCTGAGAGAAAATAAAAACATTTCAGTAAAATGCAGCTTCTAAAATGCAGTTTAACAGTAGTGCTTAAATAATATTAAAGGATTAAGGTGAACATGAGCTCACCAAATGACACTTTGTAAGTTTCCATTTGTTCTGGGACTGCCTGTGCCATGCCTGCGATGCTCGTTGCGTACTTCCTCAGGGAGTTAGCGTACTCAGTAGGGTCAAGAGGAAGCACCTGGGAATCTGCCAACAAGAAGATGAGACCTCCTCTCACCTGAGCTACGGCTCGAAGCCTCCTGAAGGTGGGGTCATAAAACCTCTCCACTATCTCAAAGGTTTCATACACACTATGATAGACAGGGTAGCTACTGTATCGCTCTTTTGCCTGAAAGGATAGAAAAACAAAGAGAAGGAGTCAATCAGTAAAAACAAGCAGGCCTCCTCAGGGTCATATTTGGTAAACTTCAAAAACACAAAACATGACAGGAGATTATTGAACATGACTTATTAATATGAGATCTTAAAAGTGGATTGTAACCTTGTTCTTAGTGTATCTGGCTCTGCCTGCAGCAATCCCCAGCCGGATGAAATAGGCTTCAAAATCACTGCCTGACCCCAGTTTACTGATCCTAATTAAATCAGGGAGGAAAAGTTATGTTTTAAAATTATATATATATTTTGAAATAGGTAGCGAAGAAGATTTCATCAGATTGATTTAGCAGAATTGTTGATTTTTTTCCTCAGTTTTGATAATTAGATTACATTTTTTTCCTCAGTCAGATCCAAAAGTTCTGCAACAGCCAGAAGTCTACAAATAGCTGTATAGAATGGCAGCTAGTTAAACATTTATTAAATTACACCTCAGTTGCTCAGAGAACAAGAGGCATGGTATTTTTATGTGCATAACTGATAAATCAGTGATTGGTAAGAAATGCTTTAAAATAGCATGTGAAAGTGATTTAAAAAAACCAGCCTTTGGAAAAGTCAACTGCAAAAAAAAAAAAAGATTATCATTATTCTGGATTTGATGAAAGTGGTTAAAGAAAAGGAAGAAAATCTGGACATAGGTTGCCTTCAGGCTTTTCCAGTACATCAAATGTTTATGTCAAAACCTAAACCATGAAGTCAAGAAAACACAGATAGTAATGAAAACAAAAACAAATCTTATGTTTTAATGTTTGATTTGACATCAGCCTAAACATGTACATCTATACATCATTAATAAGTTTAAACATTTCTGATAATAATACAGAACAAAATCAGTAGTAGCCCAACTCTCCTCTTTCAAGTGAGGGGTGTTGTACCTCATTTAACCACCAGGTGGTGGTATATCTTGTCAAAATGTATACATCAGTGGACTGCTACCACACTGATAAATTATTTGGAGAATAGAGTTTTGATGTATATGCTGGGAAAACTCAAAATGCTTGGTAAGAAAGCCATGTTTTAATATTCGTAGGAAGCACTTTAGGTTTAAGCAACTGTTAGTAAAGTGGTCATTAAGCATCTCAGTAACATCAGAGTTAATGTGTATCCTCTATAATTTCAGGTAAATTTTTCCTAAAAACACATTAAAAACAGTATTTTGTCATGGTTGAGGACTGAGCGTATTTATACAGCAAACTATGGTAAATTTACTGCAATATTTTCTGACCCATTCACTATAAATAGTAACTTTCAGCTTTGGGTAACTTTGTATTTCTCTAGGTAGCATAAATGTTTTCTACATTCTTAACTAATTTTCTCAAACAAAATATTGAGGCTCCGTACCGAGGTGCGTCACGGTCATTGGTCCAGTTGTCCCTTTTATGCCAACTCTCATACAGAGACATTTCTTCCTCTCCTTCTTCTGGACTGGCTATCTACACAGAGAAACAAATGCATCTTCAAAGAAACGTAAAAAAACAAACAAACACAAAACTTCTATGAGATTTGTATCTAATTAACAATTGTTTCCCATTAGTGTTTGATTAAAATAAACTTAATGTGGTGTGTTTAAATTTCATGCTTTTTGGAGGCTTTAATAAATTCCTGGTAAAATTGAGTTATTGACCATTTATCATGGCTGATATGGTGGACTGTCTTTAAAAGTATTCTGACTTTCTTGAATGAACATGGAGCTTTAGCCTAGTTTATCAAGTTTGAAAAGGTTGGATGTTAACTTAATTATCTATTCTTTTTTTCAGTGTCATTAGTACACCTATCTCCAGGCATCAAGAGGCAAAAGGCATGGTACAGGACAGGTCGGCAGACCATCGTGGGACGTGCAACATAAAACCATACACACACACTCTCACCGAAGGACAATTTAGAATTACCAATTGACCAAACAGTCATGTTTTTGGAATGTGGGGCAAAGCCAACGTATCTGGAGAGAACCAACACAGACATTGGGAGAAATACAAACTCCATGCAGAAAGACCTGAGAATGAAGCCCAGGACCTTCTTGCTGCAAGGCAACAGTTCTATATATCGCACCAATATGCAGCCCTCTGCTTTTCCTATCTAGCTGAATTTTGAAATGTGTTTAGGATTATTCTTTGTTGGTGTATGCACTTCTATTGTGAGTTTATCCATGCGGCCCAAACAGTCACCCTTAAAAAATGCAAATAGTTTAAGGGTTTTTTCAGGCTCTACTGGCTTTTATTTGTACCGGTAGTAGTAGAAAGAGAGGAAACAGGACAGGAAAGAGGGGAAGGCATGCTGCAAAGGTCAAGAGGCCCGGACCTAAACGTGTAACAGCACTGAGGACTAAGGCCTCCATACATGGGTCGTAGACGTAACTTGAGGACCACTGCTGCACCCCGAAATGCAAATTGAAATAGACAGGAATAGCCCATATATCTATATATATAAAGGCTTTATGCCTTTATACACTGACATTTAAAGGCCCAAAGTGGAAGTGAGGGGCTTAAAGTGATGGGTGGTTAAATCGCAAAGAGATACAGCTTTTTCTGACTTATGCCATTGTTCAGTGCTAAACTCACGGCTGAAGTACAGCTCAATTGAACTGATGGTAAACAGTGGGTCCTGAGGACAAAAAAGGCACAAGAAACAGCGCCCAAGCATAAAAATGCCCAGAAAAAACATATAGGAATGTAGGTAGGTGCGTTGGATCAGATAAAAGCTAGTAATACACTGATTTTGACACTCTTTCTGGCTAGTGTCTTGTTACTGGAAAACAAAGTTGATTTGTTACATCTGAGGCTGTTCTTTACCTAATGGAAACCTGAATTGACAACAACACATCAGACTCAGTCTTCAAGGCCAACGGTCTTTCGTTATTCTGTGTAGACCACAATGACTGATTGTGGGGGAAAAAAACACAAAACAGGTAGGAAGCCTTTGTAAGTATGTGAATAGATGTTGGTGCACTGCTCTGAAGCAATAGAACACATGACAGTGGAAGTTTGGCAGTACTATCTGCCATAGGAGTTTACTGCAGTGTTTACACCCTTCTGGTTGCTAATTCATATCAAGTATCAAGGAACCTGTATGACACCTTCAGCAATAATGCAGATAAACCCCCTGAAAACAACACTTGATGGCATGTACACTAACAATTATGGTGTGTGCGGAACTCTTTCTTGACCCCATCTTGGTGTTGCTGACCACATCTCAATCCTGTTGCACCCAGCATATGGACCACTAATAAGACGGATCAGGCCTGTAAAGAAAACAGTGTGGCCCAGTGAACTAGTCGCTGTGCTCCAGGACTGTTATTAGTGGACAGATTTCAAGGTCTTTGGAAAGACAATGACATATGGGGGAGAGGCAGACCTGGAGAAATACACTTCTACTGTTCCTTACTTCATATCCAAATATGCTGATGCTATCACCACAACCAAGACAGTAACCTATTATCCAAACTGAAAACCCTGGCTGAATGCTGAGGGGTGAATTCTACTGAAAGGACACTGTGTTGAGGACCAGTCAGACATCAGCTCTCTGAGAGATGAGTAAAGGACTGACTGCCGACAATGCAAGGCAAAAGATACAAACAAAAAACAAAGCCAATCCAGAAAATTAAGGGTCACTTCACCATCAATGACCCGGAGGGCATGTAGAAGGGCATCTTGTGCATCACAAGCTACATCAGAAATGCAAAATGCCCAAGGCAACCCCCATTGCGTGATTCACTCTCTAGGTTCTCGTGCACACTTTTAGGATCTTGTCACAACCTTACAAATCACCACACAGTGACATGCCCCTCTGTGTGACCACAGCAAACACGTGGAAGACACGAGCAAGACCCTGTCTAGCCCATCTGCTCACCCAGACAACATCCCGGGGGAAGGTACCATGAAATTTTGCACATCTTTTGTCTGAGATATTGGCATACATCTTCAATACCTCACTGTTACTGGCATGTGTCCCAACCTGTTTAAAGATCAGCACTATTGTCTCTGTCCCCAAGTCCTCCACATTGACTGCCCTCAATGACTACCGACTTATTGTCTTCACATTGGTAAGCATGAAGTGCTTTGATAGGAAATTCATGACGCATATTAAGGCCTCGATTAATATCCCTGTGGACTCACATTAGTAAGCCTACAGGAGAAACAGATCATCACCCACGTTATCTCATCAATGGAGGCTCTGGACTGAGTCCCCTCCTGAGGAACTGGGTCCTGGACCTTCTGACCAACAGTTCTACGACTGTCAGGAATCTACAACACCATCGCCTCCTCAATCACCAAGAGTGCAAGTTCACAACAGTACTGGGTGCTTAGCCCCCACCTGTGTACTCTGTTGACATATCACTGCTTGGTAAAACATGCCAGCTATCATAAAGTAAAGTTTGAAAACAAAAAAGCAGTATTGGGATGCATGTACAATGAGGAGTCCAAATATAGAGAAGAGGTTGAACACCTGGTGCAGTGGTGCAAAAACCATAACCTCTCCATTCATTTGAAAAGGACTAAGGAGATGGCGGTTGGTTTCAGAAGGGACAAGGATCCTCTTCATCCCCCTGCACCTCAGAGGAGCAGCTGTGGAGGTGGTGTCTCATTTCCACTACAGTGAAATTACAAGCTCCTCACAAGGAGAAGCTTAACTCTTTTTGATGTTTTATGGCCACACAAGATAAGCTATTTGGCTACATTGAGAAGAAGTATGTCTGAAGGAGTAAAGGTGAGGGTTATCTTGAGTTGATCTAAAATTATGCGGCAAGTTTTTGTTTTTATAACAGTTGGATCTTAAAACTGCAAGGGGATACAACATTCATTCAATGAGAAGACTACGTGAACCTCTGATCAGAAAAAAAGTATATCAAAAAAAGCTGCACTGACCTGTTTGGTAAGATTGTACACTAATGTGTGCATTGATGGAGTGCAGTCAACCCTCAGTGTGTACATACCTGGAATTTAGAAAGGCATTCATGTTTGCATTCGCAAAATTAAACCAACCGAATTAATAGTTTCTGACTGAGAAGACAGATTCACACTCCTTTATGTTCATCACCCTCTATAGCAGAGTCTGCGTTGATGTAAGCCACAGCTCTCTCCTGTAGCAGCCTTGCATTGTCCTGTAGGGATAGATGAAGTTCTGTGAGTGCAGCTAGGCATGTATAAACCAATAAACGTGAGTGTTGTTATCTATTCCACCTCAGCCCATTCTGTTGATCCCAGCAGCCCAAACTCCTCTGCATCCCAGCTGGCAAATATTATAGTCCTCCTAGGCCTCCACCCTACATGTCCCAACACAAAGAGACACTGATATAAATAAACAGTGACTCCTTTAGGTTTATTTCACTCATTAAAAGATTTACCTTTCTTTACCATCTTGCCGGCACTCCTCACAGTTTCATGGACGACTGCTGCACCAGACATTGGGTCAATTCCTCCAAACACCCAGGCATCACGGTGCCCTCCCAGAATAACATACCTGTCTGCAAAAACAATTGCTTTGTTTTAGTCAAAGGTTTTTAGCCTAAAGCAAAACCTGCACTGTCTTCAACCCTGTCTGAAAGGATCCAGTTTACTCTGATAAAACCCCTGTTTAGCAATGGGCGTTAACAGGTGTGTTTCATGAAGTGGCTCTAAATTACAGAGTACCTGGCTCCAGAGCTCCTCTGATCTTCCCAATGACATTGTAGACCCTGGCTACCTGGTTGTTACTGTAGATGTTCATTCGCACCTTCCTGCAATAAAAAATTACCAAAACACAAAAAAGAAATAAATACGAGAAACAGACAAAATGGAAATTTCTCTGCTGTGAGGAAAATGTGTGCTAATCAAATGTTCAATGACCAACGCAGAGGAGAACTAAAAGATTAAAAAAAATATGCTGGTAAAGGAGAAGCAACAGAAAACCGGAGCATCTTGCATGCCTGTTTTGTATAAAACACAGTGGGGTTGAATGCATTTATTCAGATTTCAAAGTGTGTTTGCTGCAGATTATGCTGTTGCCATGCAGGGTTATGTGTGAAAACGAATGTGTGTCACAGACAAGAAGCACAAGAGACCTCATTGTGCTTCGTCTGGCTGCTTGCCACCAGTGGGTCACAGGTTTGGATGGGAAGCAACAAAAGCAGGAGGGAAGAGAGCACAGAAAGTGAAGTTTGAACTGTAGTGAAAGATGGTCATGGGAGAAGTAATTTTATTAAAAAAGAAAGACTGGTTGTGAGTCTTATTGCAGGACGATCATTTCAGTATCATCAGAGAGTTGAATAATAACATTAGAGGAAAACTTACTGGCTCTTAAAGTCGTCTGTGAAGCCTGGACCAGTCTTGTATGACACATTCAGAGCTCCTTTCCAGTTGTTGGGTGGAATCTGTCCCCCCATGTTTCTGTTATATTATAAATACATAGTAAAAAAAAAAATGAAATACTGCAACTAGAGACTACAACAAATGGACATGTAGATAGATATGTATAGACATTAAGTTTCTACTTATTTAGAACCATTTTATCATTATATAGCACAGAAAGAAATTTACTTTAGGAGGTGGATTGCATCATGAAAGCCGATTGGATGAACAGGAATCTTGGGAAGTCCTACTCCTTCCTCCAGGTTAAGTCTGTAGGTGTAATCTGGATGGAAGCACACAGGCATGGGACTTATAAACAACAGTGTTTATGAAACCTTTCACATAATTTGTTATGATAAAAATAAAAGAAGTGCTAATATTTTTCCAAAAGCTTTTCGGATAATAACAATCTGAAAAATTTAGAACTCTCCTTTGAAATTTTGTCTGCATAGACTGGTCTGTCCTGCCCTCAAATCCTTTGTTTCTTTTCATAGATTGCCTGATTTTAATTCATATTTCACTGCAGCAGCTGAAAAATAAATAAATAACTAAAAAATAAAACATCTTCCTGCAGCCTGGTTTACCCAACACTTTGAGGAGGGTTTGCTCAGGGTAACGCCAAATTTCACTTTTCCACCATTTTGTTTGTTATTAAAAAAAAATATATATATTGATCAAGGTCTGCTTTGTACCCTACATGACTTGAGGCAGATATTTGTGCTAAAACCAGGAAACTCAAGTGATACCAGGATACAGGAAGCTTTCTTACAAACCTTTAGCTGGGTATCCAGGTGTGAGGGGGTCTCCTGCTCCATTTAGGTTGAGAACATTTCCTCTCTGAACTCCTCCACCAGGCAGGTTCCAACCATCAGGGTAAGGCTGTACAAAGCCATAGTAAGTAACAGAAGTTGTCTTGTATTGTGTTTTTCTCCTACTCATAATATCCCAGGGGGTAAACAACAACAGATCAGGAGATTTAATTGTGGTTTCTTACTTATTTTCGTATGAATGTGTTTATTACAGCTCCATAGTTACCTGGACTCCTGCTGCCCAATAATCTGCAGGATCTGAGAACATGATGACTCCTTTAGCTCCTGCTAACATGGCATTCTTCACCTTAGAAAATGAAACAGTCAAGAGAGAGTACTAAATAATGTTGTTCATATCCTGAGGGCCATAAGCAAAATTAAATGTTATCATTACAGACAAAATATTCTGAGGGGTAAAAGTGTAAAGTTAGAATATTTAGGTTCACATGACACCTTTAAGTACCTTATTGCCTCTGAATATTTTCCCGTATCTGACAATCACAATCTTTCCTGTTGCATTGATACCCATCTCTCTCTCTAGCTGGAAAAAGTCCTCTGTTCGTCCGTAGTTGACGTAAACCAATTCTCCCTGAGGAGCAAAAAAATAAAGAGGTAACAGATTTGGCTGATTTACCTTGAGTTTTATCATAGTTTTATTTGGATTTAAGTGTACCTGAGGATGCCCTTTGGGTGAATAAGCACTGTATGGAGGCACAATGTTGGAGACGTCTTCATAGCCTTGTGGAACCGGCTCAGCCAAGGAGGTGTTAAAAACCTGGCAAAACAAAGACATCATGAGACTAAAAGAAGATCAAACTGGATAAAAGGATCTATTACCAGCCTTGGGAAAAGACTTTGTTCTTCCTTTGTTTGTTTTTCATGAATTTATTTGAATTAAAATGAAAAAGGTTATTTGATATATCCAACCACAATTAAATTAGATAATATAATACAACATGCTTAAACACATCACAGAGTGAGACATAGTATACAATATGATTCAATGCAATAAGATAACTGCCAGTCTAAAATACTATATATGGTAAAAAATACTATAATCACAAAATATGAAATACTTTATCATCATGATGTTGGTGCTGATGACTGCTTAATTGCTCATTTCATTCAACTGTCTAACTCCACCCAATTTCTCATTATCGCTCATCTGATCCACCTGCTCCAGCCTCTATTTAACCAGCCCTCAAACCAGTCATCAGTGCTAGATTATTCTCGAGCCAGTGGTGAGTGTTTCAGGGTTACCTTAGTGTGTCTGATTACCTGATCCTGACCTGTTTGTGCCTCTCAACCACTGAGCCTGTCTGATCTGTTTGCCTGACCTGTCTTCGGACTTTTGCCAGATTCTATCTGTTAACCAAACTTGGAACTGATTCCTGACACTGTTCTGATTTTCCCTTTGGAACCTCTTCGGACTTCTAATCTTCTGGTTCTGAATCCTGAGCACGTCTTCGACACCGGCTTTGGGTTCACCCTCTGGATTATCCTGCCTTCCTCCTTATGCCCGGATCTGATCTCCTCCTTGTTCTTCATCCTCCGGGGCTACAGCGTCTGGGACTCTCTGGGCGGCGCTCGACAAGTCCTGTTGACAGCCGAACGGCTGGCAATAGCCTCAGACCAGCCTCAATAGCCTGGTCCTTTAGCTCAGACTGAGCTAAAGGACCAGGTTGGTGACTCACGTTCACAATCCTCCTCAGTCAGATTAATGTGGTCACTAACTTGTGTTTTCCTTCTATAAAGTTTCCTGCCTTAGACGTCCTTGCTGTTGCTTTAAATCCGTCGTTTTTTTAAATTAACGCTTTTGAGATATCTGGCTGTCTGTCTGCCTTGAATGATTTCTACTTCCTTTAGTTAATAGTAACTAATAGAACAACTTAAGGATAGAATGATCAAACTCACATGGAATGCATAGGCAAAGATCTGGGATCAAGTGATCAAAAGGAGACAATGCTTTTCAATAGCTTTATTAATTTGCTGATTATCTTAGGACATAAGTAAATTAATTCAGTAAGACATTTTTCTTCATTCTCAAGTTTTTTGGGTTTGCATTGCATTTTTTAAACATTACCTGCTCTGTCCTGTTACATTTTTACTCTCTGTCTTTGTGTTTTTCCTTGCTGGGTTTTAGTGTCACTTGGGTTCAATTAGTCAATCAGCTCTGGCATATTTCTGGAACATGTTTCACATTCAGCTGTTGGTTGGGTTATTAGAGTTCAGTGGCCTCTTTTTTTTTTAAACCGTTCTTTTATCTAATTTGTATCTCTATTGCCTGCTTGTATGGTAGAATGCTTTAAATGCATTTTCTTTATTGCCCTTTTTATTTTGGTGACACCTAAGTGTTTCAGATCAGACAATAAAGACAGGGATTAAGTGATTAACTACGGTATTAATGGACGATTTCAAATTATGAACACTGATCTTAATGGGAAAAAAGTAATTGCACTGAATTGTAATCAGTCACAATTTCAGGAAAGTTAAGTTTTGCTTCCCCTCATTACTGTCAGACCTTTGAAATCTGGATATTTCATAAACAGCAATGCTCTGACTGCATGAAGTAAACATTAACATATCAACAAGCAGCACCTTTCTTTGTCCAAATATTTAAAAACAGATGAGAAACAAAGTAAGATATGCCAGTTTAAAAGAGTCAGTAAACAGCACCAAAGCCTTTGGGACTCATGTAAAACTCAGAGATGTTATCCTAATGCGGAGAACAAAAGAGCACAGGGTGAAGCTTCCTTAGAGTGCAGACTCAAGATTCAACAGTAAGAAACTGGAGAAATAGCCTCCATTGAGGGGCTCAGAGGGGAATACAAATCTTGCATTTGCTAAAGGAGATATTGATGATGTACATTTTGGAGGATGTATTCCCAGTTAAATTGAGTGGAAATCAAACACTACATCACCAAAACAGAACGTCATGCATAACATGAGAAACGATGATGGTAGAGTGATAGTGTGATGCTGCGTTGTTGCAGCGAGAACAAAAGAAGAAAATACGGTTTTCGTGTGGCTTAATAAAGTTCTCTGAGTCCAGTTGAAATGCCATGATGATGGAATAAACTTAAACATACAGTTATTGCATAAAAATAGTCTAGTGTGTCTGAATGAAAACAATTCTGCAAAGCAGAGTTGTTAAAAAAATCCTACACGTAGATGTTATTTTTTTCTAGATAGGCTGCAAATGCAGATTAGATTGAAGAGCAATTGTGTTTCTTACATAACTTGGTTGGTATGGTTATTTTTAGCCATTTCTGAATGAAATATGTTTAATTTATTTTTATCTACATGTGAAAAATATAAAAAAAAAACATAACAGAAGAAACTACAATAGTGGAATTCTGCTTGCAGAGCATGCAGAAATGTATTAAATTGGTGTTCAGTATTTGTGAGATTAACATGAAAATGGAAACAAAAACAGACCCAGTATGTCAACATTACTCAGTTCCATGGTGCCTAAACATATTTCTGACTTAATTAACATGAAATGGGCCCATTTAAGACATCCTCTATACAGTATGTTCCTCCAGACATGATCAAAAGTGGTCATGTCTTCTGCTTTGCTCAATAGTTATCAGCTGATTGAAACACTGAAGTATCTGGAATGTAAATCCTGATTCTGGTCCTTAACTACAGTCTCAGTTCCAGGTAGTGTTGGTGCTGTAACATTATCTTTGTCTAAACTTTTATCTCACAATAGAACTATAAAAGGACCTTGGACCTAAGTGAAAACTTGCAGAGGGAAGCGGGGAAAACTGCTGTTTGATCCCACCATACAGGCTCTAACAGTTTTTAACTTCACAAACACACAGTTAGGTATGGAGTTTGGGACTGGAATAGCCCTACTGTTAAATTTCTTGGGTTGTATAGAGATAAATGATGTAACTGTGATGAATGCATTTTTCCTGCAGCCTAAGATCTGCAAACTAGGTTTGTCTCACTAGATTTTTTTTTCCTGTCATACAGCATGAATACTCTCAAATTAGTTTGCAAGTGTGTGAGAAAAAAAAAGGGGGCGGGTCTTCTGAATACATAATATCAAGGAAAACCAAATGGAACTTTCTGCATTACGGGTCCAACTTTATTTTGGCAAATGTTTGCAGGCATGTTCCTTACCTCGTTCCCACTGTGATCCACTATGGAGATGTAGTTTGGTTGTGATTTGTCCGGATAGGACAACAGGATGTCATAGGGCACCATCTCCACTGAATCCAACCCAAAGTCCTTCCACTCCTTCATGATCTGCTCTGCATATTTCAAGTTCTGCTCAGTTCCAGCTAGATGTGGGAGGCGGGTGAATTTCCTGTAAAGAGGATGGTTACTGTGAAACGTGTAACTTTAGTCAGCTGATCCTGGTGCCATTTCTGTTGTGTTAAATTGTGTCTCCCACTGTCTGATGATACTGTTCAGGATGGAGCAAAATTACAAACCAGTTCAATCCATGAAAACTTTTCAGGGCACTTTTGGACATTCTAGTTCGTAAGTGATTGTTTTTGTTTTTACCTGAGATGGTCTCTGATCAGGTCTGTCTGCATTTCATCCAGAAACTCCTTAAGGTAATCACCTGAAGGCTTGTGCTTATGAGAGGTAGCATTTGAACGATGTGCAAACCAGCCTACAAAGCAAACAGAAAAACAAACCAAAACAAAGAGATGGGATGTTTGAAAAACTGATAAATCCCATGTGTTTGAAAAACAATTATTTATTTAAAATCCTGAGTTTTAAAAACGATTACAATTAAGGTCCAAGTTAATTATACCTCTAAAACATACATCTTCCAAAAAGTAATAAAATAGTGTAAAAGCATTAATGTAAATATATGCGATTACTTAGATCTTTATGAAAATTTGCACATTATTTAGACTCTTCTTGATAATCAGCTTAATTGCTTCCTCTCTTTGCATGCATTGACTGGAAATTTGACCATTCATTGTAATAATCTCCAAATGTTTAAGGTTTGAAAGCCTTTTTGCTACCACCCAGTACTTAGTTCCCAAACAGTTATGCAAATGGGTTGTGTTTGCTAAAGGGGGCAGCCTAAAAAACAACTTTTGGTAGGTTTCTGGCAATGTTCTGTAGTTAATATCTTACCTTCAATATTTTAAGAAATAGCAGAGATGCTAGTAATTAATAATACTAGAATATTAAAGCCACTTGTTAAGAAAACTACTAAATAGTTTGCTGGTGAAGATTAGCAGTCAGCCAGGTCATAGTCATTCCAACAAAGTTAAAAAACAAACCACAGGACTTTGTTTTCCAAATTTTAAGGCGTTTTGCTTCCCATCCAGGAAGCTTTCTCAACTCAAAATGTCAGAAATAGCATTGAGTTCCAGGCTTATAGAGTGGCACAAACAAAAGCCTTGTTATGGCTTAGACAACATGCTAATTGAGGTGAACCCCTTGGTAATGGGGAGTCGTTGAGGTCGTTGTTGGCCTGCAAAACCTTATACTGGCCCATGCATCTGAAAAGGGAGTCGTTGGGGTCATTGTTGGCCTGGCTGACCAGGCGAGATGTTTTGGTCCCCTTCATGGCGACGAGGTTTGAGATGATAGTGGGAAGGAATCAACTCTATCGCTGAACTGTAAGTTTTTGAGAGCTGGAACCTGAGAGCACCCCCTCTGGTAAAGGTAGTTTTTTCTCTCTTAACATAAACGGCTTCCTTCACAATCCTTTCAAACCATCTGTTAAAGGTGGTTTGAAAGGGTCATTTTGGACAAAAGGTAATTTTGGACAAAGAAGACAGGTAGACCTTGTTTGAAACACTAAATAGTTTCAATAAAACAGATGCTGTTCACAAGCAAAAGCAACAATCAATTAACCGACAGTAAACAAAAATTCCACCACCACTTACTTTTCTAGCTTTCTTCAGCAGCCAGCTGTGCTTCTGTTCATCATTGTGGGCAAACAGGAACAACAGCTCAAGTTTTGTATTTTGAGATTAGAAATTCTTGTTTTATTTCTTACATCTATAGTTTTCTTTGTATCTGTGCAAAGTCTGTTATGCTTATTCATTGCTGGTGGTCACCTGTGTTTTATTTGGGTTTAGTAGTCCTTCTCTCACCTCAAAGTGGAGTCGGTTACATGGATTTTGGTCAAAAACACTATTCTACTGTAAGTACAGTGGCTGGAAAATGACCATTGCTGTATTTGTAATACAGCTGTGGTTCTAGGCAGTGAGTATTAACCTGTTGTGAGGACAAAGAAATTAAAACATCAACATGATGACAAACTGCAAGTCACACTGAGGCTTAAACAGCATCACATTGGCAATTACCTCTCTATGAAGGGATAGTTAATGCATTATTAAGCAATACCAAGTAAAAGTTGTATAGTTAAGTTAAATATCTCTGTAACACTGAGAAGTTTCAGTTAAGACTCTAAGAATACAACAACAATGTGTGAATTTGAGTCTCTGTGTCTTACCGATGCTGAAACCGAGCAGGAACAAAGCCAACACAACTATTGTCCAAAAGATCCAACGAACCAACCGGCTCTCCCTCTTCATTGCAAAGCTGCTCCCTGTCCTGCAGATCCACACACTGACACGGCTGGTTCTGCAGGCGAGCTCTGCAGAGGCACAGATAAAGGGAGTAATTTGTTTGGAAGGCAGAGTGAGATGGAGTATGGCAACGGGAGCAGGGAGGAGCTGAAAGTTTGTCAGTTAGAGGCGGTGAGAGATACATTGGAAGAGGGAGCTCATTAGAGCTGGTCTATGTCAGGGCATTTAATGTGCACCTTGGCCGTTCCTGTGCTGACTCAGTATTTGTTATTATGAGAGCAGAGGGTCACTCTGAGGAGGCTTTCTAATAACAACACATGCTGGACTTGGAATTCAAGAAAGACGGGAGAAGATAAACGTCTGACACCTTCTTTACCTTTACTGCTGTTGTGAAACATTGATTTGCTTGGTAGATAAGTAGGTAGATTAAATTGAATGTTCAGATAAATAAATAAAGGTAGGACTTGTCTTTACAAAAGAAAATGTTACCATATGCTGATAGGGTCATTATTTTGCCCTTTCTGGATTTTGTGGTTCTCTTTGTTTTATTTTTAAGTTTTCATTTACACTTTCATTTATGTCACTCTGTGTTTTCCACTTCATAGGTTTAATTTGCATTTAGTATCATTCTCATTCTCATTGTTTTCTGTTTTTATTTTTTATTTTTAGTTCTTATGTATTTATTGTTTATTCTCTGTTGCCAGTCTCCTTTCCGCTAGTTCCCTTCTAGTCCGATCTGTCCAAACCTGCTTCCAGTTAGTTAATTATTCCACTCTTTGCAGTTACTGTTTGCTGGTTACTGTTTGTCTTTTTTTAGGCAATAGCTTCATGTATTAAGTTAAGTTTGGTTAAGAAAGAGCATTGATTTTAAACTAGCTCAAGTGTTTCTGAATATTGAAAACATTTTAGATTTAAGAGAAATATCTTGAGAACTTTCATATTGTTATAGAGCAATATCCCAAGAAATCTAAGCAATGTATCTTTTTTCCGTTCTTCTTGAAGAACTTGATATCATTATTAACATGTTTTTTTCCTTCATCCTGCAAGGTTTACATTAAAGCAAACCAGATAATGCAGAATCTCTGACTATTGTTTTGCTTTTACATAATTGTAACAATTAAACTAATATATTTTCCAGTGTGTTTGGTTTTATATATGATCATATATGAGGACAGTTTTGGCCCCATGCACAGCATGATTTTCATATTTTATTTAAAAAAAAAATGCAATTAAAGATTAACGTTAGGCCACCCCCTCAGTGATGGACACTCTTGTTATCCTACACTGCAGTATGTCTGCTTTCCAGCTCTGCTATGGCCTCTCCCAGGTCCCTGAACAGCTGTGTGCTGTGGAGGATTCCTCTTTCATCCGATGGACTGGAGCGTGAAATGGTGAACCTCTCTGCTCTCAGGAATGCGGGGGAGTAAATTCAAGTCACAGCTTTTTCTTCTCCTCTGGGGTCTTTCTGAGCCTTTTATTCAACACTCTTTTTAGAGTGTGGAAGCACTTTATCTGTACTTTGACTGTAATTTATTTGAACTGTTTTTGAAAGCAAAATTTTTAGTAAGTCAATGAACCAATACTTTTAAGCCTAGTTTTCCTGCTGTGTATAGCTATATCTGATGTTTGTGGGAACACATTTAATTCAGTTCAGTTCAATTAAATTTCAACCAATCCTAAAGGGATATTAAATGTTGCAGTGACTCATGGGCTGTGGGTTCCAGACATGGAACAAGCTAAATAATTAAAATTATTAGGGAATGATTATTGATAATAAGATCTGCTGGAAGCCTAGCATTATGCATATTTAGACTAAATTATGTAGAGGGATTGCAATTTTTCAAAACCTTCTCTGATTTATAAAGCATTACAAATTCTTGTAAGTTGTAAAGGACTACAGGAAGGTGAAGGGGTTAGAATAAATTAGTTTTCCTTCCTCATACCCCTTTGTGGACATAAACACTAAGCAAAACATATAACACAAATATGCATGCCCATGATGGATGTTTGAACTGACCAAAATTGTAAATGAACTGATAAATGATTTTATCTTTTGGATTTTATGATACAATAATAATAGATATCTATAATTTTGTTTCTTATCTCAGTCACATACCATGCCGCCTTGATAGGTTATCACTGGGGAACTTTGAGAGTCCTTTAGTAACGGGTAAATAATAAAGTGAAAGCTACACAAATATAGCCCCATCAGGTGCAGAATCAACTTTATTTGACCTGTTTGTGCACACGAACAAGGAATTATACTTGGATTCCATTTTTATGCCAGTTTAAATAATCCGAATAGTGGAAACTCAGTGGGAAAAGAAAACGATTGATTAAAAAAAAAATAATACACAGAAACAATCATGTTTCTCTGTCCTTGTAAGGACTTTCCATTGACTTCAATTCATTTTCCTTTTATTTCTAAGTCCTAACCCTAACTATTACCAGTGCATACCTAATCCTCATCCTAAACCGAACCTAAATTTAATCAACATCTTAGTTCTAAACCCCAACCCAAGAAGAGAATATTTCCTCATGAAAAGGTGTTTGTACCTACAAGTATCTACAAGTCCCCACAAAGCAGCATGTTACTAGAAAATTGGCTTTACACTGTCCACACAATATAACACATTCTAGGGACCCCTGAAAAATTTTTTAGGCTAGGTTTAAAACTTTTCTTTTTAATAAAGCTTAAAGTTAGAGGGGCTAAGATTATTCTGAGTTATCTCCATAGTTATGGTTAAATAGGCTTAGGCTGCTGGAGGACATGGGGGCTTCTTTACATTCTACTTCATCCTATCACTAATCTTCCATTCTGCATTATTTGTTAGTTCAACCCCTAACGTAAGTTCTCTCTGCTTTTCTCATCATAGTAGCTTCATCTGGTCTATTCCTGTTTCGATGTTATCCCATTCCTGGAAATAAATATCAGTTGGTCAGCTTCTATCAACACATTCTGTTACAGATGATAGAGTTGGGCCTGTTTTTAATGTTAAGTCCTGTTTCTCTCGTAGATATACCGAAGCGTTCATCTTTTCATTTAGCAACTGTATTTGCTCTCTTCAATCCCTTTTACATGAAAGCTGTTAGAGCTCATCTTCTTAGCTGTCTCTTTCCTAAACAAAGCCACTTGTCGAGGTAGTTGTATGGCAGTTTCTTTTTGTATATCTTTTCTATCTTCTTCAACCCCAGTCATCTTCAGCAGAAGGTTGGTCACACTGAGCCTGGTTCTGCTGGAGGTTTATACCTGTTGAAAGGGAGTTTTTTTCTCTCCACAATTGCTGCATGCATGCTCTGTGTGAGGGATTGCAGAAGAGTCTATATAAAATGCAAGTGACCTTTTTTTGTGTTTGTGACCTGTTTAGCCAATATAACTCTGGGAATTGTTGTCCCAGAGTGAGATCATAACCCAACAGCTTTGCCTTCACAAGCAGACCACTATGCTTGATACTTGTATATTACACTTTATTAAGCATTATTCAGGGACACAGAATACAACGGACACAGAAAGGGAGATGAGAGCAGGGGGGTGCCAGGAATTGTGGGGCCCCATGATAGACATCGACCCCCCCCCTTTTTTCATAGGAGCTTTGAAACCCTTATGAAGATGCATTGAAGAGTATCATTTACAATGTCAACGTAATTTTATTGTAATATTTCTACTAAGGACATTAAAAAGTTTAATATAAATAAATTAAGCTTTTCATTGACATCCTATTAAAATAATAACAGCTTATTTAAAACAAAAAACACAGCTGTAACCATGTACACACAAATAGAAAATAGGTTTAGGATTGTTAAAATATATTCTTATTAGGTTTCACTATAAATTTAGAGAAGGAGGGGATAAGAACAAATGACTTCTGTGGACACAGGCTCATCCAGGAGGATCATGCCCTGCAACTCAATTAATGCAATCAACCGGATTTCTTGCAAAAAGTGGCAAAAAAAGAAAATAAAAAAAAATTGATTTTTTTTCGCAATCTTACTGTATCATCGTATGGAATTGTCTCTGTAAATTGCCTTGACCGGTTATGTGCTGAGAATTTTCGCTTTATATACATAAATTGAATTGAATTAAATCTACTGAGATATTCACTTGATTTGGTCATATTGGTCTATGGCTCCCTCTAGTGGCAGAAACAAGAGTCAACGAGTAGCGAGGCGATGTTCATTATTCTGCCTGCTGAAACTTTTGTTGTTTCCATCAGAATTTAATAGGTGGTTAAATCAAAAAAACTTATTTTTACCTTTAATCACTTGGTGTGTGTCAGTCGTGGAGGTTGGAGCGGCTGGTGAACAGGCCGCTATGCAGGGGTTTTATCGTAGAGGGAGGGGGATAAGAACGCCTTCAGAGCAGGGAGGGGGGAGTTAGAGGAACAGACACCGGGAAAAGAGTCAGAGCTGCTGGAGAGACATTTCTCCAAAACCTCTCGGAACTGAAGACTTGTGAAAATCCTGGAGCAATTTTAGCGGCAGAGACCCTGAAGGCACCATGGCTGCGCTGCGGAGCTGGGTGGCCAACGAGGGAGCGAAGCACTTGGTGCTGGTGGGGGAAAGTTTGGCATAAACTTTATAACTAATCCCTTCAGTTCCTTTCTTCTTTTTTTCTTATCAGCTGTTTTACATTTCTTATATTTACTTTCAGATGTCAATGTTTAATGTTTGTTAACCATCCAGCTGGTGGACCTTAAAGATTAAGCCTTAAATGTCACATCAGTTTATAGCATCTGTTAGAGGAAAATGTACATTTTCTCTCTCTTAAAGTGATCTTATGATTGATGAGTTTATTGGTGTTACAGTAATTAATACATGGTGTGTCTGCGTGTGTTTAGATGCTGTGGCTGGGAGCAAACACCTGGCTTTTCCTCAATACCTTCCAGCTGTATGCCACAGGGCAGGAGTACCATTACCTCTACAGGATGCTGGGGGTGAGGAATCATAACATCTGCTGTAAAAAAAATAGTAATAAAAAGTCACTTTATGTTTATAACTTCATTGTAGAATGATTCATAAACATTGTTTTGAAAAAAAAAAAAATACAATTTGTGAAGTTATTGTAGGACTATAAGGCATAAATGTCCCATTAGAGCTGCTTTACACAGATGGTTTGAAATCTTAAAAACACACTGATACACAACAGAAGATGTAGAAGATGAGTTATCTTTTTCAGCATATATGGGATTTTACATAACCTCCCATTTAGAGGCATAGTAAAAAGTATATAATGCAAGAAGAAAATCAACTGTTGGCAGAGCACCCCATAAAAACTCTTTGCAACTTGCTGCAAACCTAGATAAAGACACCAAGCAACTGAAATGATGAACAGCTTTGACAGATGTTTACACTTTATATTAGTTGGTTAACTATTTGTGTCTCTGGAAGTCATCAGTTGTGCCTTGCTTGCAGAATTGCTTAGTGGGATTTTTGTTAAATTCCTGTTGGTTTTCTGTAGGTGTAAATTAAATACTAAATGCATTTTCCCTAATATTGCTTTCTTTTTCGTAATGTTCATTGTTATTCTCAAAGAAGGCTTTACTAATATACTGATCTGAAATAAATGTCCTCAAAAGGCACTCTGTAGCACATTTTTAAATTATCTTTTATGAATAATTTTATCTTTTGGTATACGGTTTTAAAATCTAACATGGTTTCTTCATCGATATGAATTGGATTTGATTACAAGTTAGGAAGATCATTGAAACTTTATGAATGAATGCAGCTGTTACCGTAACTGGGCCCAATGTGTGAATCGTAAAAGTCCAGACATGGACTGTGAGGGTCCTGATATTGAGGCACAGAGAAGAAAGCTTGATGATAAATAGGCTTCATGGAACCCAAAAACATTAAGTGGTAAATTTTCTTGTAAAAGACTGAGGTGACTTCAGGTCTCAGTACTCCCAATCTTTCTCACTTCAGTTTACTATGATAGAAAGGTATTCTTGGTATTCTGAAAAACAGAATAGCAAAAAAAACAACAACAGAAACCCCCTAACAAAGAACATAAAAAAACCCTAAGTCTTAAGAACTTCCTGTTAGAGATCCACTGCAGGCCTGAGCCTTTCATTCACATTCATCAACTAATAAAAGATTTGAACTTTAAAATTATCCTGAGCATGATAAGTAATGCTCCTACTGCAGGCCACATTTTACACTGATATTGAGGGCCTTCTCTGTTGCTGCTTTTCAATTGTGGGATAACCTGCTGCATTAGAGAGGCTCCATCATTGACCACATTTAAGACCCACTTGTCTTCAAGCCTTTTATTGTTCTCTAACTTATAATATTAGTGAAATATAGTTTGACCTTGTTTAACTGGTTTTATTGTGTTTGATTGTTTCTGCTCTTCTGCGTTTTTTATATTACGCTTTTTTTAAACTTTCAAGGAGGTGTTTTAGTTTGCAGTCATAGGCAGTGTTTTGTTTCAGCTGTGGCTGTTTTAAGGCACTTCATAAACAAAGTTGGTATAATGCTGCAAAGAAATTATTTTCTCAGTGAAACCAGCATATTAGCATTACAAACATTTTTCTTGTGCTTGACTTTGTGTCCTGCTTTATTCCATACTGTGTTTAAAAGTAACAAAACAATGGTTATATGATGAATCACAAAAAATAGTTGTAATATGATTTATCTAATAGGCCTATATAAAACAATGGAATTAAATCAACATAAAAATTAAATATGCGTTTTAAATAGCAGGATTACGGATCAAAATAACTCCCCAGACTTTCAGCGTCTCTTTGAGTCCTGTTTAGGTATAGCACAACTTTCAAGGAGGGGGCTTTCTACCTAAACTGACAGACTGAACATATGGAACATTATGGAGAGATGCAGTCAGAAGGTAGCGCCGGAAGATGAGCTGCAGAGATCCAAAGCTCAGGTGGGAGAACCCATGAGGACAAATATTAGTTTTTCCATTACATTTTCTTCCTCTTTATCTGGAGCCGGGTGGCTGGGGAAGTGTTCGAAGCTGAGATGCCCTGACTTCCTGATCCATACACTTCCTCCAGCTGCTCTGGCGGGGACACTGAGGCGACACCAGGCCAGCTCAGAGACTAGCGTGTCCTAGGCCTTCCACGAAGCCTCCTCAAAGCAGGACATCCCTGGAACACCTGCAGACGGAGGCGACCAGAAGGCATCCGAAACACATGCCCGAGCCACCTCAGCTGGCTCCTTTCGATGTGGAGGAGCAACGACTCTACTCCGAGCTCCTCCTGGGTAACTGAGCTCCTCACCCGATCTCAAAGGATGCGCCCAGCCACCCTGCGAAGGAAACTCATTTTGGCCGCTTGTATACTTAATCTTGTATATCTTGTACTTATGACCATAGGTGAGGGTGGGAACGTAGATCGATCGGTAAATCCGATACAGCGACCACATCACTGCTGATGCTCATCCATCCCTCTATCGATCTCACACTTCATCAGTCCCTCACTTGTGAACAAGACCCAGAGATACTTGAACTCCTCTTTTTAAATAGCAGGATTACGTTACAAAATAACTGGACAGGCTTTCAGTGTGTCTTGTAGTCCTGTGTAGGTATGGCACAACTGTCAAAAAAGTTACACAGTTTTTAGGAGACACAGCAAACAAGTGGAAGAAACTCACCTGTTGGATAAGAACAAAATTGTACTGCTTGCAAAATGATGCATTCGGGGGAAAAGTTAACACTCTACATCACCACGTACATAGAATCTTTATTGTTAAGAGATAATGGCGGAAATATAATGGTGTAAAAAAATAAAAATAAAAACCTGTAGTGAATGGGACTTTAGCTCTAGCCCACTATAATACTTGGGAAGTTGACTTTGGTAGAAATATTTGTGCATACACTGCCCCTTTAAACGTATGATTGTCATACAATGACAAATGGTAAATACTCTGTATTTGCAAATGTCAGCTTGAAAAAAAACAGAAGCGGCTGCAAAGTCTTAACAAACCTGTGCCCTCAGAGCACCAAGAAGCTATGAGAAAAGGCAGCAAACAGCATGTGTGAACTGTTGCACCGCCTGTACAGTGGGAGGCAAAAGGGGAGGAAAGGGGCAAGTGTGGGCAAGCCCCCGTTTCCACTGAATGCCTCGCTGGAGGGCTTAAGTCTATGTGCCTATCTTTATGTGCACATAAGTACGAGTGCAATGTATATCCAACGCATTAATACTTCAAATAGCCTCTTATCTTATTCACCTGCTTGGCAGGCGCGTTTGGGGTGTTAGAAAGGAGGGTATCAGATCTCCGTCTGGTTGTTGCTGCCGTCAGCTGCTGTTCTTTAAGAGGCTCTTTAAGAGGAGTGTGTGGATGAGGGTTTTAAGAATAAAAGGGTCAGGATGGGTTAACCTTAAGTTATATTTAGGTTTAAGCTTTGGTCTGTTCTCTGCAGCATTCTTATATTTCATTTATGGTCCCTTAAATCTGACTTTACATTTTGTTGACCATCAAACCTCATTGATTTGGTTAGATTTCTTAGACCAGAACATCTTCACAGGCTCGATCCCGGTCATACCTTTTTAGTCTTCTTTTATCTACACCCCCCCCCCCCCAGCTCAGTTAAGTCAGAGATGATCAAAAGTGGCAGCACCTGCAGTGTACCAAGCTCTCAACAAATGTGCTGAGTTTATGAAACGTCAGAGTGAGCCCGACTTTAATTAGATTATCAAGCTGCAGATTGCGTTTTATTCAGTCAGATTATCCGTCTTGCTCACACATTACTTCAGCGGTGCTTCACTACTTTTTGTCATGCGTTGCCTCGGCATGAGATGTTGATTCTTGTGTGCAAAGCAGATGAGTCACTGTAAAATCTGTAAGCTTAGACCTGATGAATGGATGTACATTACCTTTTAATCGTATTGATACCCCTTAAACCTTCTACATTTTGTCATGTTACAGCCACAAACCTCAGGGGATTTTATATGGATTTTTTGGGACAGACAACACAAAGTAGACCATAATTATTAACTCAAAGCATTGGCCCAGTCAAGGCACAAGATCTAGATCCAGTTTAAAAATCTGTTTACAGAGGCTTCTTTGCAAGGAAGAATGGACAAATAAAAGTGACTGAGACAAATCAGACAGAATAAATACTCGGGGAGGTCTAATACAAATGCTCACAAAACTTTATTTGGAAACTTTGTCTTTCAAAAAAGCCTAAACTGCTTTGTTGTAAAAAGTACACTGGATTTTCTGGTTGTGATGTAATGCAATGGGAAATCTCAAAGGGATATGAAAACTTTTCCTAGTCAGGGAATAAGAGTTTGGTAAATAAGGATCATCTTTTCCAATGAGCCTCAGTCCTAAGGTTGGTGCCTGTTAGCAACATACTTTCAGCTGAGTCACATTGTAATTGTTAGCGGGCTCAGACCTCCACATGGTGAAAGACAAAGGTGGTTTGCTATAAACCTCTGCGGTGAAGTCATGCCTCGAGTTCTCAGCTGGTCTTGATTACATAAGCTAGAGCTGTGGGCCTGTCTGACAGCGTCTGCCTTTCTCCATCTTCCCAAGGTCGGACTGTGCATCAGCCGAGCGTCTGCCTCTGTGCTGAACCTGAACTGCAGCTTGGTGCTGCTGCCCATGTGCCGCTCTCTGCTCACCTTCATACGAGGAGCACACGTGGTAAGGGTCACCAACCGATTGAAATAAACAGAAAAAAAGATTAGGATTTTCGCTCCACAGTGATTCTTGTCTGTGTTTCACACTCATGCAGGTATCAAGCAGAAAGACACGGAGGCTGCTGGATAAGAGTAAGACCTTTCATGTGGCATGTGGCGTAGCCGTCTGCCTCTTCTCAGGTAAAATCCCCCAGCAGGCTCCCATCTCCCTCTCTACTGTCTTCCTTGTAAAGTGTGATGAAATGGATCCGTAGTGGTCCACCAGCTGGGCGATTATTTCTCCTTTGTGTTTTTTAAGTCTAGCTTTGTGTTTTGTGTCTCCTCTCACGACAACATGAACCTCAGACAGCTCCGTATCCGCCAGGGTTTGAGTTCACAAGCTTCTACCTCTGACTCACCCATGTTTAGTTGGCTGCTTTTTTTTCTGAAAAGCTGCCTTGCATTAGTGTATCTTAAGCAGAATCTTAGTTTCACATGAAAAAGCACAAAGGGTAACTAAATTAAGCATCCTGCACATATAGCTGCCTGCTGCAAGCATTTCCTCCGCTCTCTTGCTTTGGTTTAAACATCTGTTAACCCAAGACTCTTTGATAATGTCAGACGATCATTATCCAGGAAGTAGGAGACGTCTTTCTTCCCATGCAGACATTTGTCAAATGGATAAAATCCAATTCTATATAAATGTCAGATAATTTATGACTTAATTGAATTATTAAAAGCTCCTCACATGAGTTTTACTCTTGTGTTGCATAAAAAAGCCTAAAATACGCTCATAAAAAGGCAAACTTTGCATTAGAAACTAATAATATGTCCAAAAACACTCTTATAGTGAAATAAACATAATTACATTTAGGTGAACCCATTCAGTTTTGCATCTAATGTGTGGATGCAATAACTTCCCCTGAAAGGGTGATTCATGTGAGAAATATTTTAATCTGAATCAGATCCTTTCTTTGGAGAGGCTCTCTGATTGGTAAAGAAGGCAGATCACTTTAACGCCTTCTCCCACTTTATAGATTCTGTACTGGAAATGTGAAGTAAAAAACTAGATGTTGCATTCTTCATGCTTACTCAAGCCTGAATCGATTTCAGCAAGCAGCTGGGTGGAGTGACCTGTCACCAAACTTGAAGTAAACATGGAGAGGTTGATTTACATTTTATAAGGTTCACCCAAAAGCTGAAACAGTTCTTCTGTCTTGTCGGTGAAAATGATAAAAATGTGTATAACTGACCCAATATGAGATTGAAACTATTCTTTTTCATACACGATAAGTAGTTTACGATACCTAAATTTTTGTATTGTTTTAGAAAAAGCCTCCCTTTCACTCTTCCTTTTTAAAGAGAAAAGCATCTTTCATATCAGTGATGTGCTAAGCCGTGTAGATCTGGACCAATTCTTCTCTACCACAACATAATGAATGTTTAAAGGCACACCGCGGACTTTGTCACCTAAAGAGTTGATGCATATAAGTTATTTAAAATGATTCCTCAGGCCAATATAAAGCGCTTGACACTATCAATGCTACGAGCGGGGCTCCCCTCTTGAAATACTAACTATGCAAGATGGGAGAAGACGGACTGTTGTAGGCCATGTAGTGTGACCTGGAAGAACATATTGCAGGCTTTTGCTCTACTATTTTTCTGCCTGCTTGACTATTGGTCATGGCTGAGGCAAGTAAAGGGTTTAAACCTTCTGAGGAGGCTTAAAAGAGAAAATGTGAAGTGATCATGCTCGAGGAAAAAACAAGAATCAATTGTGGAAAGGAGTTTGTTCTGATGTAAAATAGATTCTATTTTCTTAACTTTATTAATAGACTGGTAAGTTAATACTTTGCTCCTAGTATACAGTCATATATCTCTGTTATTATATTTTTATGTTTAGTAGAAGAAAAATAAAGCTAGCAGGCTACGGACAAAAGCTAAGAGAACCGCACCGCCTAAATGTGTAAATCTCAGGCATTCCGCGCAAACGATAGATTCTTACTTTCATAAAACAAAACCAGTAGAACATAGTAGCGGTAATCCTGATACTGCTTCACTGGTTTTTTTTTATTTTTCAAGTAATTAGCAGGGCGGCTGTTTTTACCTGTGTAGGTGTAAACCTCTGACGTAAAAGATACAAGTCTAGCTCCCCTAGTGGCCAAAAGTTGCACGGTGCGCCTTTAAGCAATAAAAATATTAACCAGCCTTGTAAAAACTGACACACTAACATAGCGGATATAAAAAACAATATATTGATTAGCAATCATATTCCAAAAACCATTAACTTTAATTGATGATGTTTTGGAACTGCAGAACAGTTTATATTATCATATCAAATAATGATTGGATCAATAAGTTCTCTGTTCTTGTTTCATCATATGAATGAAAGCAGCTGTTGCTGCGGTTCAGCAGCTCATTTGTACATTTTTATCTTATAGGTTTTCTTTTAATATCTGAGAATTTTTTTGAAGTCTGAAAAGATCAACTTTTCCCATCATCACAGTAAATCCTGTAAAAATAATGAGACAAATATAGAAGCTCCGATTTTCTCTCACTGGTAGTCATCTGAATTTTCGGCAAGAGATCTTTAAGAAAATTCAAAAGATGAACATTTTCTTTTTCCTTTTTCTGTTATATCATCCGTTAGCTTAAAACCATAAACCTCTTCACCTTTTACTGTATAATAACACACACATTCACATAATCTTTATTCTCTCAGTTGACAATAACACTGTGGACAAAGAGGCAGCAGGATGGAAGAGAGACATAAACCGTGAGAAGAAAGGCAGGGAGAGGGGGGGGGGGGGGGGGGGGGGGGGTGGACGCCAGTGGGAGTGGGAGAGGATATGGGGGAGAGAAAAAGGGCCCTTGTGTGTCATGATTACAGCCTCTAATTCCATCAGCTGTTGAACGGCTGCGTACTTAGCCTGTGATGTCAGGGAGAAGTGTCTGTTTGAGCTGCGCTGCCTTTTTGCTGAATGGACAAAGACGTCAGTTATTTATCAGTCTGGAGATGAGGAGAAATCCTACCTGTGGGGGTTTCTTCTTTAACTAAAATGTTTTTCCTTTTTTTACTTTCTCATCATCTGCAGTTGTGCACGTTTCAGCCCACCTGGTAAATGCGGTCAACTTCAGTGTGAGCTACTCAGACGACTTTCCTGCTCTGAACTTTGCTCGCTACAAAGGAGAGGTAAAGAGTTTAATATAACATTGCTAACATTAGGCAATGTGCAATATAGATCTAAGAATTTAATGGTTTCCAAAAAGAAATGTTCTGAAGTTTTAAGCTCTTGATTGGCTGATCCTATTTCCCCTTCACACACTGTAAATAAGAAAGGACCTCTATCTTCTGCATATAAATAAAAAAGATGACTGATAATTAAGCAATAGTGATATCCTTCATATTGAAAGATATATGTACAAATAAACTCAACTTAAGAGTATTTCTGAATATCAGCTTTACTCTTTCACAAGAGATTTTAAACGTCACATTTAAAGTTTTCTTAAAAATTAAGTTGGGTCTTTTTTGTCAGAAAGCTGGGCTGAATTATGCAGATTAAACTCGCTGATACTAAGTAACTCCTCCGATAGGAGAACTACCGGTAATAGGGAAGCAGATCTCCTCCCACTGCAGCCATCAAGTCATTAAAGACGATGAACCAAAACAGCTCTAATCTCAGATTGTTTCATGGTTAAAAAACCACAGACTCCAAATATTGTCTGTACGTAGGTAGAGTGGACTGAGCAGATACCGGGGGAGGAAAAAAGATTACAATCACCCATCTATGTACATAATTAATCAATGTTTAATAGACATTTAGATCTATTGCTGTAGCCTGTCTGCTCAGTTCAAACCTGCAATTGTTAGCAATTAAACAGCTGTAATCACTTCATCTTTATTTCAGGACATAAATGCTGAACCATTTTTTTGCGCTTACTGGATCAAATATATTCAAAAGGCCTTGATTGGGTCCTTAGTCTCGGATTCTGTAAATATCCTGAAAGCAGAAATCTGCTTCACAAATGAAATACTTCCATTAAGGATGGGGAATTTTTCAAATGAAGAATTTGTAAAAATGTAAATAAATATTAATATTCATTATGGATTGCTGAGCTTAATTGAAATCATAAAAAAGAAGGAATCCTGTCCTTCTATATATTGGTGATAGAAAATACAAACTCCAGAGACTTTAAAAGTGACAGATAAGTGAAACAAAATGCTGATGAGGGTGGGGGTGTGGGGGACTTAGCCAGTAAGAAAACTTTAGCTTTCTTTTATGCAAACAGTCCAGCCTCCCCACCTGCTCCGTTTGTGGGGGGTAGATTTCTGACCCCGGATTTGGTGCTGGTTCCAGCACTGCAAACGCTGAAGGAGGAAAAGCTACACTGGCTTCTGAAAAAGGTTCCTTTACTGAAAAACCACCTTTTTTTTTACCATTTTAAATGCAAACATCAGTAAGGTTAAAATTTGAGGTTTATGAAACATTCCAGAACATTTCCTGCTCCTAAGTAGTCTATGATAGACAGAATTAGAACCTTGCAAACGTTAGTTTATTGTTTTCTCATTAGGGCCCGTTAGTGTAAATGGAAAATCATTCTGGTCTCTGGCCAATTCATCTGAGCCTCTCTAATGAAATATCTTGTTTTATTTCTTTAGTGTGACAGCTTCTGAATATTTACACATGGGAAACTGCATCAACATGAAAATGTACATTTACACAAAGATTTTGGATTGTAATTACAGTAAAATAATGAATTTGGCATAACCTATAACTAAACCCTATGAAGATTAAATTTATAGGTCATAGAGTTTAAGCTTGAAAATGTAGTGACTAAAATAACAGAGTCTGATCATTTTAACGTCCGCAGGAGGACAGAGAGTCAGTTCAGACAGTTTGGCATTAATTCTGCAGACTGTTTTCTCCTCAGCATTGATCTGTTGCCATTCAAGGCAGCTCACACAAGCATTACTGTAACCAACTGAATGATGAAGACTACAGACCTCTTTCTTTTTTTGTTTCATTCTCAGGACCCCAAGAGGATAATTTTAACAACAAGTAAGAACAGAGACCCTTATCTTCTTAACTTTGGTGAATGAAGTTCTATAGATTTTATCTTTCGCTACATAATTTTTATTCTATATTATTGTTTAGTTTGTTTTTTAAGCAGTTTGGCACAGTTCTAGATTATATTTTGGAAGATCATATTTTAACACATGTAAATAACATATTCTAACTTCCTTAGCTTGAATAAAGTCTTATTAGATGTTGAAAATAATAATCTTACTGCGCAGATCAGAATTTTTTAAATGATTGGCTGCCCTCTCCCCTCACTGCAGGACTTAAACACAGATGTTGTCTTTAACAACATATCACAAAAAACTCTTCTCATCCTGTTCTCACTGTTTGCACTGTTGCCTTCAGGTAGACGGTACAGATGAAAAAAAGAACTGATCGATTCACTGACAGTTTTTAGCCTACAGCTATAGCTAATCTAGATGCTCTCAAAAAAATCCATAAATTGACATAAACGACAGCGTAACAATGAGCATGGATAGGCTGTTTCTTTTTAATTTCAGTTATTTTTTTAACTGTTATTTGTTTTAATTCTTAAGCTGTGTTATTTTAAGATACTGTGTTATTTTAAGTATTTTAAGATACTATAGTTATTAATGTATTTGTATTTTTTTGTGTATTTTTTAGCATCGACCGGCAACAGTTTTAATTTTGTTGTTCATGTATTATTGATAAAATCAAGAATCCATCATTATGGATTCTGTAATAATTTTTTATTTTTATTTTGTTTTAAACTTCTTTTTATACCTTTTTAAAAAAAAGCACTGCCAAAATCTTGATTAGCATTGCAGCAATTAAACAGATTTTTACATGTTGCCACTATGACTGTCCAGATTTGATATTGATATTAGAAATTGTTCCAAATTCAGCCATAAAATCAATATTGAAATATATCGCCCTGCCTCTAAATCAGAAAGAGGAATCTGATATCAGAAAGCTCCTAAAACACTACAATTCTATTGGCTTTTGTTTGAAGTTTATTTAATTATATGGTGAATAAGAAATGGGTCAGTTGTTCCCATACCTGGTTTTAAGAATTGTTTTCTTTTTGAGAAATATAACTTAATCTAATGTTTTCTTTCATATTGATAGTTTATCAGATACATATCAGTATTGATTAATACTCACACATTAGTCACAAGTCACATTAGTTGGGTATCATATCAGAAATAAAAAAGTTTTATTGGGACAACCCTAGGTAACACAGTTATTCTATTTTTTTTAAACATATTTTTGTTTTGGCTATAAAATCCTGATTTTTTATGTTAAAAGGCCTCATTTCCAGCCACCCTAAATTTTAGCACCCTACAAAGATTCTTAAATACGTACACTCCGACTAGTCGTATTTACTGGTTTTCAGAAAAGTGGCAAAATGAAACCATTGCTTTAAACCTCAATCTATCAGGGGTTTAAATATTTTTTTTGCATCAGTGTTTTACATTAAAAGATATAGACTTTAGCAGAAGCAACTCTAAATGCATTTTGGCCTAGCAGACTATTGCAATTTTGTTGGTGGAATTTGTTGCATGTAAATAAAATCGCTCTAAATACATGTTTTTATAAACCTTTTTTATTTCTGTCACATTTAGATCAACCCAGCCAGATTAAACAAGACAGTTGTTGTCGATAACTTTATGTTGACACTGTTTATTTTGTCTCTACTCTGTCATAATGGTTCTCTTCAGTTCCAGGAGTTACTGGTGTCCTGCTGGTCCTTATCCTTCTCCTGATGTTCATATCTTCCTCCTACTGCGTTCGGTATGCTGAAATAAACAATGGTTTCTGTTATTTTAAAAGTTCATGCTTTGTACTAAGAGAAGAGGAATGCATTTAAGCTAGTAGATATGCAATACAAAATATTTTGTGTTTGACATCACTAAGGGTGGAGAAGCAAGTTAGATTGTTTGTTAAAAACTTCAAAATCCAAACTTTCGACCTTGGGCTAATTTCTTAAAAAATGCAGTGAGGAGAGTAGTTTGGCTGATTGTTGCTCATGACAACAGTTAAAAAATCTTAAAAGGACTGAAAATACTGTTATGAGTAAGAACATATACAGTGTTCAGGGTTTGAAAAGCTGTGTTTTGAAACAGAAACCCCCCCCCCACCCCCAAAAACATAACTGTATGGCACAAGTCCAATGTATACTAAATTGGGTTATTATACATATATGAAAGGATCTAGTAATCTAAATGATATCGATTTGCAACAAAAACATAATAATAGTTACATTTTGTTTTTAAACTGTTTGTAAGGTTTATGAAACATTCCAGTTCAACACAAACAAAAATTCCTGTTTGTGTTAATACTGTGTCGCTGGATTTTTACATCCAAATGATCCTTTAATAATAACTGCATTATCAATCTGCTGGGTCTGTAGGGACTAGTCAGTCTGCTCTCGTTCAACAAAAATGGGGTTAAGTTTTGGGTTGTGTCAAAGTTACACAAAAACATCCTAAATTTAATTTTAGAAAATGACCATATCTCACTCAAATAAGCTTATCTTCGACTGATACCACTTAAAGTCCTTATATAAACGCAGTCAGTATGTTTTTTGATATCCGCTAATATAGCTTTTAACTCCTTTAAAATGGACATTTTCAGTTGAATTAGTTTTAACTGTACATAATATTTTTCTGAGTAGCTGTTAGAAGATAAATCTAGTTATATTTCTTAGATACTCACAATGACTTTCTGTTAGCAAAATTATCTTTACCTTCATTCCAAAACAACCCTGTAACTTTGTGGTGTTCTATAATGAAAGTTTTAACATGTCCCATTTAGCCTCCTGTTATTTCCTCTGAATCAGAATTAACGTTTGGATCTTTCGCTTGACTTCGTGTTAAAACTCCTTAGTGATGCTAGAAATTGCAAACCTTTTGTTGTCTTCTCTCGCTATTTACTTGGTCTCTCAATAGTGTTGCTTTTAGAGTGAGTAGTTAGTGTTTTATGTAAATGTAAATCCCTTTATTGGAAAGTCTCTGCATTTTAACCCATCCCCTTGGGGAGCAGTGGGCTGCCATTGTGTGGCGACCGGGGAGCAATCAGGGGTTAAGGGTTTTGCTCAGGGACCCAGAATACATGCTGTGGCATTTGATCCAGGTACTCGCAACCTTCTTAGAGCACGAGCGCACTGCTCTAACCCCTAGGCCACCACTCCCCTTTTGGCGTCCGACAAACTGGTTAGGGCTAGAAAAAAAAAAAAATCTGATTCTGATTATTGAACTTTTTTAAATCATCTCTAGAAATGTAGGTCAGGTTTATTTAAGTCATGCTTCATCATCGCTATGTTATGTCTACTTTGTGCTGTGTTTCTGCTGGAGCTGAGGCTCATCTTGTGCCATAGATGATGATGGTGATGTCATGCTGACGGTCTTTTCTCGGTTCACTGTGGCATTCTGTGGTTGGAGGACACAGTGTGGATGTGTATGTGTGTCACAATGGGGTTTCCAGCTCCTTTAGTAAGTGAACAAACAATAAGAGGCTTTTCCAGGTTTTAGATAAGAGTCTGGCTCAGGGTTTCCAGTGTTGGGATGATGGCTTCTGCACACTGGAGGGAAACCAAAACAATGACCAAGAGGGATATATTTTCATATCACAATACATCCTGATATTCTTGATCACTCTTCTTTTGACAGTTTTTATGAAACAATGACTTATATTTTCTGTACAGCTTTTATTGGAGGCGGGTCTGACTAAATTACTTTATAAGAAACTGTCAGGTTTCCAAAATACATGAAATCTGTTAATTTGGCTTATTATGTCATTGGAAATTATATCACATCAACAAGTAATAATTCTAATAATTTAAATCTCATTAAATAATATCTGAAACCCTTGTTAGAACAAATACATAAATTGGTTTACTTGATTTGATTAAAAAAAAGTCTCAAATGTTTAATTTTTGACTTGGTGTTATTTTCTGTCATACTTTTTAAAGCAGATTGAAAGAGGATTTCTTTCTACTAGATGCACAGTTTTGTTTATGTGATAACTTTGGATTTCTGAAGAGATTTTATATTTTTCCTGTTATTAAGACAACTAAAAAATTGTCACAATAAACAATTAAAACCCAGTAACTCTGAGATCTGCATTCACCAACAGCTTGTTTTCCAGGGTGTTTGGGTTCATCTTATACTAGTGATGTTTGCAGTTTAAAAGCTGCTATCAGTAAAGCAAAGAGGACAGCTTTCTAACAGTAATTGTTTTTAGTTTACATGGTGGGTGTTGTTTGTAATCACCCCTCTAATATTGACCTCTGAAGTCCTGCTTTCAAGACTTTTTCTGCAATTATACCTCTTATTTTTGTCTTTATATATATTTCATGCTACATGCTATCTAAGTAAGTAATTTTCATTTATTTATGCTTTTCTAAACCAATTGTGCACCTTTATTATTTTTGCTTTGTGTATTTCAGGGTCTCGAACTATGAGATCTTCTGGTACACACACAACCTCTTCATCGTGTTCTACATCATCTTGATGGTGCACATGCTCGGGTAGGGACTTTATCTGTACAGGATTTCTCTTTTCGACTCACTTGAGATTTTTCTCTCTGCTCTGTTGGAACATTATGTTTTCTTCTGGTGAAGAAGTTTAAAATATTAACAAATATTTTAACAGTCTGTAACAACTAAGATCTAACAGACCACCAAATTATTGTTTGCCCTATCGCCGTTTATTCAAACTTATCTTTTTGAGGATAAAATAACACATTTTGAACCTTTTTAAATGTATTTTTTCTGTGTACCCATACAGTTTTTGTATATCTATAGATGCATTTTTCCCCACAGACAGTCAATATTTGATCTCCATTCAGTATTTACACAATGTCTTTAACTTTTATAAATTACTATTTACCTATTTGATTCTCAAAATGTATTAATAACATTTTAAAAGCTTGGTATACAGTTGCATCCCCTCTCCTTTACTCTGGTTGCCATAAATCACCTGCATTTAAAATTACAACACTGAAGCACAGCAGTGGCAGTAGCATCATGCTGTGGGATGCTAGTCAGAGTCGATGGATCTGGGCAGAGGTTTACCCCAAACAGGTCAATAGCCTTAAACAATCAGCCACACCAACAGATCCGTGGTCCTCGGCCCTGATGTTGAGAGGCCAATATCCTGCATGTTTAAGATATGTCTCTGTTCAATAAAGTGCTAAACAGAGATCATCAACAAGCATCAGACATACAGGAAATAAAAGAAAACACATAGAAGATGTTATAACAACTTAGCAAATCAAATTATGTTTCCTATGCTGGGTCAAAAGCTGATGAGAAAAGGAGGGGTTTATTTGAAAAGATTGGAATTAAGATCCCTCTATAACTTTTTCAAGTTATGCAAAGTGATGTTAAGCACTTGCTTGTTTAATCTGTTGCGTGGCAGCAGGAAACAACTGGATAATGAATACCACTGATCTAGAGTTAAAAAAAGAAAGTAAGTATTTATAGTTGGTTTGACAAATTATTGAATCAGGGAATGAATATTGGTGACAGTTTTCAGATTATTGCTTGGAAAATGTGACCATATATAATTTTCTTTCAATTCAATTCAGTTCAAAAGACTGTATTTTATCCGGATTGGGGTTTTCCCAGTTCAGTTTTATAAGCTATTTTGTAGTAGTTTTTATTTCTCTATCAGAGCAGATCCCATTAACACTTTCATGTGACCAATTATAGCAACAAAAAAAAGAAATGCTCAAGGAAGGCATTTTTTTGCTTTTGTCAACTTTTATTATGATTTTTTTTTTTTTTGCCAAAGTCTCTTTGCTGCTAAACCCCAAATCCTGATTGTTCTCATTTGCTTTTTTATCCCAGTGGAGCTCTGAAGTATCAGACCAACGTGGAGGCCCACCCACCTGGCTGCCTCAGACTCAATCAGAGCAGCACGGAGCAGCAAGTTGATGATCTGGACCTGCTAGAAGATGATGATAGGAGATGTAGTGAGGACGCGCACTTTGAACCACACTGCCCTCAGGTCTGTGCATGTTTGTGTGTAAATATTTGAGTGCCCTACGTGTGATCTGAGGGGCTAGAGTTGTTGCAGGGAGCTGGACCCATTTATTAGAGGTGTGAGGGAAGGGCTCTGCACATCAAGGCATGTTTGTGTGATTGTGTGTTTGCCTGTGGTTGCCGGTTCCATAAAATCCCCTTTATAGTTGAATAAACTCCCCTGGCTTCACTTAAGCCTTGAGCAATTCATCTTACAGGTATCTCTAAAAACGGCAGCTTTTTTTTCTTTTTTTAACTTTGCATAATTTTTATATTTCCCTTTTTTTTACTTAAATTTTATTGTTTTTAAATAACAGAATAGGACAAAAACAATGTCAACAATATTTCAAATGATACATAACAGTAAAACATTGAGGTTGAATATGTTGAATCTCCTGTGGTGTCTCATTTTTGGGCTTGGTTTGTTGCTCATTTGTCCCATTTTGTGTGAAAGTCGTTTCAGTCTCAGCTTAAATGTGAGTTTTTCCATGTTTAATATATCCACCACCACCGCGTCCATCCAATTAGATTTCCTCTTTTTTAACCAACATGCTTAGGGAGATGTTTTTGAATGGGATGACAGCTGGATGTTCTTATGCTGGTTATACTTTTATGTTATTTAAACAGATGAATGTAGCGCTCTCAGGCACTCAAGATTTCAGCACCCAAATATTATGCTGATTTGTGGAGGTCCACAATTCTCTTCTTGATGTTCTGCCTGATTTCTTTTATTTCCATCATATCACTAAAGGAAAGTGCATTCAGTGTGTTCCCTTAAAAGTACTTTCACAGGTGTGGCTTCAGTTAACTCTGATGTTGCGAATTAGCCTATCAAAGGCCTTCAATGCCATTACTTCATTGTTGGGGTTTTCTCAGACTCTTAAACACAGTAAGATTTAAGTTTGAGAGTTAGGCCCCGTCCACACGAAGTCAAAATGAACACGAAACGCTGATATTTTCCAAAACGTTTGCCGTAAAGACAGAGATGTAAAATAAATGTGAGCGTCCACACGAATGCATGAAAACGCTGCAAAATGTATGCCAGGCCTGTAAGTGGCGCTGTGGTGCCAAAGCAAAAATAAGCGACGAAATGTTGGGCATGCGCACTAATATTTATACATGGTTGCCCTGCAGGTCCATTTTCATGGTTAAGTCAAATTCAGGTGCTGAACTATGTCGTCGATATTGCTCTGTTCTTCCTGGAGATATTCCAGAAGAAGAAGATTCTGTTGTAAGCCCGACAGCAGGGTGAGTAGCATTAGCAGCAACGGCGCCATTGTTGTTGTGATACTGGACGCGCATGCGTGTTTAGAGGCGACGCTATGACGCATGCGTGTAAAAAAAAAATGCGGTTAGAGCGTAAAGATGGAAACGCGAAAACGGCGTTTCGAAATCTTCCCACTCTGAAGGCTGAATAAAAAAAAGATCGTTTACAGACCCCCGAAACGCCGGCTTCGTGTGGATGAGAGGCTGGTTTGGTGAAAAATTTGTGCGTTTAGGCCAGGGTTCGTCTTCGTGTGGACGGGGCCTTAGAGAGCAAGAAAAAACAAAACTATGCCCTGTTAGTCTTCTTCTTAGCATAATAAATAAATTCTATAGTCATAACTGAGCTAAAACAAGAGCAATTAGTCAAAGATTTATGGAAATATTTCTAAAAATGTTGTTTTAGTTTCAACTATTGTGAACATTTTTGTATATGCTCTTGATGCATGTTTGGCAAGCACAAGCATATAGGTGCAATAAACCCAAGTAAATATAGTTAAATAAGATAATCTTATGCCTTAATCAAGGATATATGTTTCCCTCCATGATATCAACACTTATACTGGTTATCTGGTCTACTGTCTAAATAAACAGAGAAGTGACTCTATGGTTGCATGGTGGCCCAGTTTCTAGTTCTGTCACCTTGTAGCAAGAAGAAGGTATTTCTGCATGAAGTTTGCATGGTTTCCATATGCATGTTTGGATTCTCTCCAGGTACTCCTTCCGTTACTGTATGTCCTTGAAGTTAAACTTGTCATACTGTGGATAAGATTTTTTTAGCTTTTAACCAGAATTGTGATGTATTATTCATTTATTGTCCCACAATGGAGAAATTCATTCTCTGCATTTTGACCCATCCCCTTGGGGAGCAGTGGGCTGCCATTGTGTGGCGCCCAGGGAGCAGTTTGGGGTAAAGGGTTTTGCTCAGAACCCAGAGTGGAGACTGTAAGGATCTTAAAAGGGCTCATTAAAGAGCACAAGCGCACTGCTCTAACCCACTAGGCCAACACTCCTCACATTACGCTCGCATGTAAAAAAAAATGTTGCAGCAATATTGAAAATGGTATCAAGTGTTGAGAGTTTTTCTTAGCATCTGTATGAGCAGGAAATTTTAGTTTAATTTTGACCTCAGCTTTCAACTGCTGAAGTGAGAAACCATTGCTAATAAATATAAATCTGTAAAATAAATGACATGACAAAGCCGATGATGGACTTTCATTCACAGTGGTCTGTTTGGATGCAATATTTACAGTAGTAGGCTGTAATATGTGAGGTGTCATGCGTTACGCAGTTTTTTTTTTTTTGAGTAGATTTTACTGCTATGAAGAACATTTGTTGTACTTTATCCCCACACCCAATACAGGTCTTGGTAAACAAGATCAGAGAGCTCAGAAACATCATGGGGAACCTAGAAATGACAAATGTATGTTACTTATGATCCACTCCACTGTCATGCGCCCCTGATTTCATGCAACCCTACTAACAAAACGATTAAAGAAGAGCAAAGTAACGAACAAACCCCAAAGACAGCTTTACTGTGTTAAGATAGGCTGTTATTTTTGATTCTAGGTTATTTATTGCTTTTTATTTAAATATGTGGTCATTACGGTTTAATATTAGTCTAAGGGTTCAGTAAACAGCTTTCTGTTCATTTGGATTTACGCAAATTAACTGAAAACTTTCCTTTTGGATTTTCATGAACAAAAGTCCTGAACAGGCACCTACTGATTTCCAGTATAATATGAGAGCAGAAGTTTAGTTTGGAAAAAGAGTCTAATGTGGAGGGAAAATACTGATTGCTGATAAGTACTCCAGAGAAATATTTTGAAAAATATTCAGACTACATAGAAGCTTTTATTTGGCTTTAATGTCACAAGAGTAGACAGTTAAATAAAGGAAATCTATTTATGTTGTCTGTATTTCATCTTCTGTTGTTTAAAATAGGGTTATGAGGATGAGAAAAATAATTTTACTAGAAGTTAAGTGTCATTGATAAATAACCTTGTGCTTTTCTGCAGTGATGGGTAATTTTTTTGTGCTGTGTGTGTCTCATTCTGAATACAGACTTGGCTCTGGGTGTCGGGTCCACTCTGTCTCTACTGTGTGGAGCGGTTTTACCGCTACATCCGAAGCAGCTCCCCTGTTACCATAGTGGCCGTTACCAGGCATCCTTGTAATGTCATCGAGTTGCGCATGTTCAAGAAGAACTTCAAAGCCCGTCCTGGACAAGTGAGAGGACATGTGGTCACGCCTTAGCTTTTTACTTTCATTGCTCCTCAGACATATTTCTGTTTTACCATTAATTCAAATATTTTTCTTAGTTGTTACTGTAACCTGCCTCATCCATTATGTCTGCGTGCCCCATGTTGGATCTTAAACTTCACCCGTTCCCTCATCCTGTTATTTCTCCATCCTTATCTTTTCCTCCAGTATATTGTTCTTAACTGTCCAAGTGTGTCTTCATTTGAGAACCACCCCTTCACCCTGACAAAGGTAAGACCGCCTAACCCCCGACACATTCCTCACTCGTGACACATCACCAGCCCAGGGACATGTCTGCATAAACACGCTCCTGTTTTCACAAGAACCTATTCTATCTGCTTCTCTACAAAGAAAAAGCACTTTGGCCTCAGCCAGGGCCCTGGATGCCTTCAGTGGCTTTGTCTCTAGATAAGCACTGGAGTCATTCAGGAATATTATATTTCACTGTTTATTAGTGTTTCAGATTTTCTTCACATTGCACAAGAAAAACATAAAATATGTACAGGATAAAGAATCTATTTCACCTTATCTTTGAACTTTTTCACACTTTAGTGACATCATAACTATAAACTTCCATGTCTTTTATTATAATTTTTAATCGTCGATCAAGACCAGATGGAATACCGTTCAAACCATCATCCTAAAATAAAAGGAATACATTACAAACCAACCGTAGCACAGCCGCCACTCAATCCTACAGGGAAAAACACGAGAGAAATCCCCAGAGAGGCAGTGAAAGGGCCTAGAGTTCAGTAACTCAGAAGAATCTGCACATATGCACAGCTTAAACACAATTGGTACAACTTGAACAGTTGCTAACCACTCATAGGTGCCATTCTTTAACAGAGACAGTGCAGCTGTTCAGGGGAAATGAAAAAATGGGCGGAGCTAAATTAGAACAGGGTGCTGAAAAGAATAGTTAGAGGCTACACAGGAGTTTATATGATGATGGATGTCAACCTTCTTGTAGGATAACATTGGCAAAAAATACACGCAGAGCTGCAATTATATCGATTAAATCAAAGTTGTGTCATGTGTTTAAATGGCCTAGCCCCATTTACACTACACTTTTGAAACTGTGCCAAGATGTGTGAGCATGGTGACCGATATGATTGTTGAGTGTAAATAGCACGCAAAACTGAACCAGACCGTGCCAGACACAACCAAACTGTGCTAAACTGGTCCTAGTTCATTATTAGGGCTCAGTTCTGGCTTGGTTTTAGATAACAAGGAGCGCATGAGCAGCCTTAGTAATCTTGACAGTTCAGACATTTATAAAAATACTAGCTTCCCTACCGTGCCATACGATTTCCAGTAATGATTCTGCTTAGCAGTGTGATGAACCTCAACCTCTGTCATTGTTTTTCTGCGAGTGTAAGCCCTGCTTAGACTATCGTTTGTCATATTCAATTCCCAAAAGCAGACTCTGACGAGTAAATTCACCAAGGGCTGCCTTCTTTGCTTGACTCTCCGCAAAAATGAAATATCACCATTATAACCAAACTTCCTGAATGTTACAGGCGCAGCCCTGTTGATTTGCATAGATCGTAACTAGGAGGCGAGGAACCACACAGTTAACTGATCCAAGCTTGGTCTGAACTCTGCATGGATCAGTTTTTAGAGAGTAGTGTAAATGGCGCTTCTAGACCTAAACCCAAGTCACAATATCTGATGGGTATTAAAAACTGGCTGTTCTGGAGCTAAAATGCCTCAACTAATTAGGCAATAATTTCATTTTCTAAACGTAATGATTGCAACAAAAGTAAAATGAATCTTTATAGGTTTTGGTTATACAATGAAGTAATGTGTACAAAGCTCAGTTGATGTGAATACCTTTTTTTTTTAGCAGAACATTAAAGACTCACTCTGACAGAGAGCAGACTGACCCCTGAGGCTATTAATGCTCTCTGCCAACAACGAGGCTGTGTGCTCTCTCTTGTGCATTGTTAAATTTAATGAAAAGAGTTCCAGCCTTCGCTGCATACCTTTTTTTAAATCTCATGTTGCCGCTTAACATTGTATGCTGTTTTGCATCTAAAATCCACTAACAGTGTGTGATATCCACTGTAACTTACTGTTTAACTCTTTCAGTGCCCAACGGTGAACAAGGAGACTTTCGGCATCCATCTGCGAGTCGTGGGAGACTGGACTGGTATGAGAGTAGCACATAAACACACACAGGATGGAAGTTAGTTTATGTTACCCCCCCCCCCCCCCCCCCCCCCCACTGATTTCCAGTTCTCTCTGGGGAGGTTGCATTTAGAGCTGCATTGTATGAGCATGAGTGTGCATGTGTAAGAACCTTACTTTACCCCTATAATGTTCCTGTGGTTTTATTGTCCTGCTGGAAAACTGGACTAGGAATGCAAAACCATATATAGATTGCTATTGCTAGTAATCATGTTAAGTTTTAAAATGCTAATCTCATAATATTTTTTCCTCTTTATGCTGGAAGCTTTACATAAAAGTCATAAAACTGTGTCAAGATAACTCCAGCCTTGCAGCCAGATCAAAAAGGAAGTGGGTTTTAGAGGAAGCGATGACCTTAGGGACGCACATGAATCTGCCTGCACTTGCGGCTCTTCACGTCCACGCTAACATCCTTTCAGATGACAGAAAGGGAAGCTGCTTTGTTTGTGTTAGACTCACGATATGCCATGATGACAGGCTCTAAGGAAAGTGGAAAGCAATGAATTGGGACGCGATGAAAACTGCCTCTCCTCTCTTCCCTACAGAGCGCTTCACGCAGCTGCTACTTCCTGGGCCAAGGAAGGACTTGGAGATTCTTCCCATAGTCCAACAGAGGACATACCCCAAGTAGGTCCTCCACACACTGATTCTGCTTTTCAAATCCTTTTTGGGGAGTTTGGCAGAGGGATAACGGGGTTTCTGAAAACCAATCAAGTCCAAACTCTAACATTTATGTTAATTGATTATTACTTAAAAACAGCTTTATCTATTGATTGTTTGCTGGGCTTATTGTGTTTCATCCCACCTTACACTGTAGGGTATTTATCTTAATATTAATAATAGTAATAATAATAATAATAATACATTTAATTTATACTGCACTTTCCATCAAAATATCTCAATGTACTACAGGTAAAAAAGAGAAAAGCATAAAAAAGCTATTTTTAAAAGAGAGGAAAACATCTAAAGGGGACCAAAAGCTTTGCTAAAAAGAAATGTTTTAAGGCCTTTTTTTTTAAAAACACTCAGTGGATTGAGATGCCCTCAAGGTGTCAGGAAGGGCATTCCACAGATATGGGGCATCAGCACAAAATGCCCCGTCTCCCATTTTCCCTGAGGCTGGTTCTGGGAATATGGAGGAGGATTGAATGAGTGGAGCGAAGGGAGCGGGTTGGGTTTTGTGGGTTGATAAGTTCTTTGAGGTGGGGGGGCATGTCCATGTATGCATTAATGTGTGAGTTGGGAAACATTGTACTCAATCCGGGTGGAGATGGGAAGCCTGTGTAATGAATGGAGAATGGGTTTTATGTGCTCATGTTTCTATGCTCTCATCAGGATCCTAGCTGCAGAGTTTTGAATATACTGAAGCCTCTGCAGACTCTGTCTAGGGATCCTAATGAGAAGTCCGTTGCAATAGTCCAGTCTGGAGGAGACAAATGCATGAACCAGCTTTTTGGTGTCTGGGAATAAGAGAATGGGACAGAGTTTGGAAATGTTACAGAGGTTGTAAAAAGAGGTCTTGCAATGGTGATTTATATGGGCTTCATATGTAAATTGAGTCCATTTTTACACCAAAATTATTAACTGCTGATGAGAGCGGGATGTTAGAACCAGAAAAGGTGACGCTGGTTATGGATAATGATATGGTTTGATGAGGAGTTCCAACCAGGATGGCTTTGGAGCTATTGAGTTGAAGAAAGTTTTGCTCCAACCATACCTTTATCTCCTCCACACAGGTGGTAGGTTTTGGTGGGGATGACTGTGAGCATGGGGTGTCAGCTGGGACATCATCTTAATTTATGCAGGAAGGTTTTGAGCTTTACACAATATGCTATAAGCCTTATTTTCTTTTTTCCTGCCATTCCATTAATGTTATATTTTAAAGTGTTCTGAGTCGATAGCTTTGTAAGTTTTCTAAAGGTCTTTGCTGCTAATATCACTTTGCTTTGGTTTAATAATTGACCATTTTTAGAGGAAATAATTTTTCTTCCCAACCTACCTGTGATTTATAGAGAGGCTCTAAAGTGTGCAGTGTCCTCTGTTACTTTAACTAGACAACATTTTAATTGGAGAAATATTTAATGTTATAAAAGTTTTTGAGGCTTTTTGAAATTACAAATAAAGAATAAGCACACACCTGCTTCCTTTTTATTTTATAAAATCTATGGAAAACTACAGCTATAAGATTCCATCCCAGGCTATTAATAATGGTTCACTTATTTTACTAACTATGTTCGTGTTTCTGTTCTTGTTTATCATCAGGCTTTACATTGATGGTCCATTTGGAGGTCCATCTGAGGAGGTCTTCAATTACGACGTCAGCCTTTGTGTCGCTGGAGGAATTGGTGTCACGCCGTTTGCCTGCGTACTCCATGCTCTGCTGTGAGTTTTGGAAAAAAAAGGAAAAAGAATCAGATTGAAATTATAAATTATCATTATTGACACATTGACGTGCTTCTGGTCCACCCAGTGATGGCTGGAGGGGCTTCAGGTTACAGAGGCTTTACTTTGTGTGGGTCTGCAGAGAGCTTCAGTCATTCTACTGGTTTGCAGAGCTGCTATGTGCCCTTCATCAAAAGGTCAGTCCCCACTGTCTATCCCCTGTTTAATAAATGTAGCTGCATCATAATGTCACACATATAAGCTGAAGGACTCTACAGTGCTAAACAAAGCAAGACGTAAATTGCATGGTGCTTGTGAGCCTTAGCATTTTATCCCCATCAACCAAAGCATATGTAAAAATGTAAGAGCACAAATTTCTTATGAGGTAGTGCATCAAATAATAAAAATTGAATATTGTGTTTTATATTTTACCTTCATCTAATACAGCATTCTCTATGTTTGTGTTTGTTAACCAGCTATGGCAAGAGAACAGGCCGGATTACTTTAACTTGAAACTGTATGTCAGTCAGACAGACAACATGCAGGTAATAATCACACACTGGTGCATGCTTATTGCTTTAAAATGATATGATTTAACTGTATTTTGTTGCTTTTTTTTTGGATTTTGCTTCTCTATCTATGTCTTTTTTACATTGACCACTAGAGGGCAATAGATCTCAATAGCTGTGACCAGATTAATGATCAGAAACCCACAATAAGACATTATATCAGACATTTTCCTTTAGAGAACTGCATATGGATTGATGTGGTTTTCATACGTAGTTCACTGTAAGGTTGAGAATTGGTATGATGGCATTTCAATCATAGCTAAAAATTTAACTCTTGGGTTAAGCCTAATAAAATGGCAGCAAACAAGCAATACTCTTCATAAGTACAGAATTACTGTTGACAAATAAGATCCTGCAACCTGTGAGTGTTTTCAGGCAGCTCCTTAGTTAGTTTAGTGGTGAGTATCCCTGCATGTGAGGCGCACTGTTGGCATAGAGTGTCCACCAATCTGACCCCAGAAGAGGGCTACATTACTTCAGAAGAAACCTAAGCAGTACCTTGTGAAAAACAACACTACTTCCTCAGATAAAAAATACATTTCCTCTTCATGTTTGTCTGTTAGGGGCAAAGAAATATTGCATCATGTTTAAAAAAATACATGAAAACCTTTTAGAATAATTGTCGTCTAAAACACAGAATCAGAATAAAGTTTATTGCCAAGTAGATTTGCAGTTGCAAGGAATTTGACATTGTGTAGGTCCTGAACGGGGACATAGGATTATTAATTATTGAGTCAATCACCATATAACAGTAGAGGAAACATTTTTGCATATTTTCCATAAAGATTGTTAAGGTTTTTATATTTATTTAAACTGTGATCAGATTGCTACTGACCTAGTAAAGAAAATTTAATATAGATCCAAAAGATTTAATCACTGAGCTCAACTTCTTTTAAATTTATCAAGGAATAGAAAAATCATGACATCACATAAAATTACTAAGTATATTACTAGAAAATAGTATAGTGGTGGTACAATTATATGCAACAGAAGCATAGTCGGCTAAAATAATGCTATCACAATTGTAAAAATCATCCATATTTTAATGTTCAACCATTAAACAGAACTAACATTTTTCCAGATGTTATGGATCAGTTAAACAGATATTTGTTGCATTTGTTTTTCCAACAATTATCATTAGTAAATACAGTATTCCCTCTTGGTAACTAAATTAGATGAAACAGCGCCAAATCACGTAGTGTTCATATAATGTATTACATCCGTAGTGGTTTAGAACTACCATAGAAAATGAATGGGAAACGGTTTAGGGCGGTTTAGCTAAAGCAGGGGTGGGCAAACTTTTTGACTTGCGGGCCAGAATGGGTTCTAAAATTTGCAAGAAGGGCCGGGCCAGGAGCATTTGGACAAGCAATGTCATTAATTAAACCTGGGGATTGAAATGTATAAAAAAACCAGACAATTTTCACGACCATAAGGCGCACCGTACTAAAAGGCGCAGTCTCAGTTATGTGTGCCATTTCTGTATTTAACACACACATAAGGTGCACCGGACTATAGGGTTTTCTTATATACAGGTACATGTCCTCTACTACCTTTAGATACCTCTACTGCGTATTTAAAAATAGAGCAGGGGCAAAACTGAGTATGATTGTGCTTTATTCATTTATTTATTACAAAGTATTAATCAAACCTACGTGCTGGCCTTGAGACAGACACGTCGCTGATGACACAGAGCGCTGTGATGACTCCTAAATTAACTTAAAATCCTGAAACCTGCCGACGGAATATGATCGCTTTTATTGCTGGTATCCTGGTGCCTGCAGTTTAAATTATTTAGATGAAAAACACCTGCCAGCCACCGAGGTGAACCCGGAGGCTGCCCGGCCTAGAGGCTGCTGTTGAAGGGGTTCCTACTGTCAGTGTACCGCTGGTATGTGGTGCACCGACAGTAGAAATCTGGATGAACTGACTGCAATTATTAAGTTTTCAGGTGGACTTTCTCACTTAAAAACATATTAAAACTACTTTATTCCCACTGATCACATCAAATATAGCTGCAAGATTTAGATTATTTAGATGAAAAAACACCTGCCAGCCGCTGCGGTGAACCCGGAGGAGACCCGGCCCAGAGGCCCCCTATGGAGGGGAAACAGATTATTTCAGGCAGCTGAAATATATGGTTACCCCCCTTAAAATTTTTGCAAATAAAGAGTAAATATGACCAAATCCACAGGATTTGTTCTCGGTGGTGAGATGAATAAGGACAGTTAAAGACTTGTAGGTAAATCAATTTCTTCCCCTGTTATGGAGGGGGAACAGAATATTTCAATAAACTGAAACATCCATTATCTCCTCTCCTCCTCCCATATCTTTGGGAAATAAAGAGCAACTGTTTCCAATTTCTCTAAAATTGATATGTGTGATGTGGTATACTATTAATGTCCTTAATCCAGTAATCTGTCATATTTTACATTAGAAGGTGATTAACCAGAAATTCTACTCTCATCTTCGCAGGACGTCTTAATTTGTGTGCCCTGCTATCAGCCAGTTTCCATCCTCTTATATCAGCAATGAAAAATAAAAAATACACTACGTGTTGTTGTGTTCGGTGACTGACGTTTATTTCTGTCAGGCTGAAGGGACAAAAGTTGGAGAAATACCGATTCTCTTGGCGTTAAAAAAAACACAAAACAGCGTGAGGACCTCGTTAATGTATTTATTTTACAATTTCTTAAAAAGAGCAACCGATTAAAATGGATGTTACAAAGTTGAGATGATTATATGAGCTGTTTTTACCGAAAAATGATCAGGAGCGCCTTAAGAATGGTCAGATCCGCCTCTCTGGCTGCAATGCGCGCTCCCGACACAGGGGGAACAGATTTTCACGGGGAAACAGAATTTCGCACAAGACCTCTTCACACCGATGTCGAGCGGTTGAAGTTCCTTTGTCAGACCTCCCGGGATAACGGCGAGCACAGCGTTCATTCAGTCACAGATTAACAGCGATGGTGATGCGTGGAAAAAACCACCTTGTCTCCTCATACACCTGCCTCGCTGTCAGCTCCCAGATCAGCTTCTCTGATTGGTTGATGTGGCGCGTCCAGCAGCAAAACTTCAATTTTTCCATCTCGAGCAGCAGCAGCGCGTTGGCGGCGCGCTCCCGAAGCGCACCGATGTCGAGCGGTTGAATAACAGCGAGCACAGCGTTAATTTGTTTCACCATGTTTTTCACATCAGCTGTGAGATGGGCACGCATGCAGTCACAGATTACCAGAGATGGTGATGAGTGGGAAAAAAACACCTGGTCTCCTTACATTCACCTCCCTCAGCCACGCTTTCATCATCTCCTCAATGAGGAGATGAGGAGTTCTGCATGGTGCATGGTGGTCTCAAAAGTCGCAGTTACAACACACATAGGGCGCACCGCACATTTTGAGGAAAAAAAAAAAAAAAAGACGTTTATGTGCGCCTTACAGTCGTGAAAATAGTGTAATTTGGACAAGTTCGGCGGGCCGGATTGAAAAGCCTAACGGGCCGTATACGGCCCGGGGGCCGTAGTATGCCCATGTCTGAGCTAAAGACTTACCGAAGGCTGGTGAAACAGCGCCAAATCACGTAGTGTTCATATAGTGTATCACATCCGTAGTGGTTTAGAACTACCATAGAAAATGTATGGGAAACGGTTTAGGGCAGTTTAACTAAACAATTCTCGAATTGGTGTCAATAGTGAGTTATCACACCGAATCCTTATAAAAATACACACACAAAAAAAAATTCTTTATCAGAATTGCAGGTATGTCATATAAGATTCGACGCGGACCCTGACGCTGTTAAGCAGCTCCTCGTTAGTATAGTGGTGAGTATCCCCGCCTGTCACGCGGGAGACCGGGGTTCGATTCCCCGACGGGGAGTTACACTTTTTTTCTCTTTTGAAAGCTTTATAGCTTTATGTAAAATATAGCCTAGTTTCAATTATAAATTTCAACTTTTAAATCATTAATCATTTTCAAATATTTAAATGATTGCAGCAGCACCAGTCCTGGTTTATGGTGTGATTAAATGTTGGTGTTTAACAGAGAAACAGCTTTATTGTATTTGTTTTGACAGGGCCGTATGAAGTCAGACATTTCATAGCACTTGAATTTGCTACGGTACACTATGTTGACTCAGAGCTCTTGACCCGTAACATGCAGTGTGTGTGACCTCCATCGAGGTCGGGTTGCAAAGGGAAGAATAAAAAAAGCCCTGCTGTGGTGCGCACAAAGACATGTGGCCAAAAGCTTTGTCCTGTGGAAAAAAAAAATTCAAGCTGAGATAGCTTGTGGGTTTCAGATCTTATTATCTGTGTACAAAGTGGTAAACATTTGCAAACAAAGACCTACCTTGCCATAAAGTTGTAATTATTAGTTTAATACAGGCTGTATTGTTGAGAGCTTTTTTTTTACGTCGTGACTTTAAACTATTTTCTTCTAGAATCAATAAAAATAAGTTTACTTGTTTTATTTTCTTCGAATAATTTTCTTTGTTCATCATAATTATCAAGAACTTAAAAGTATGACAGTGTTCGTCAGTGACCACCAGAGGGGGCTGTGACCTTTGGGAAATTTTATACTTCAAGTAGTCTGCTAAACCCTGACAGCAAAAAGTTATGTGTGAATTGCCTGGGTTGAAAATGGTTCCTGGATCTTGCTTTGGAGACCCCTCCTCTGACATATTTTAAGCAATTGTTACATTTCAACATGTTTAGGTTTTGGCACTGAAACAAATTTCTCTACAAACAGGTAATAGGCAGATCAAATGCAGCCACTCATCCGTTTGGGGAAGTAATGATACTAATACTTTATAAAATAAAGAAAATGACCAAAGTTAATCTGTTCAGACTTCCAGGTAAGTTATATAAAGTACCAAATAGTTTAATCTTTCCATTACATTTGGCCAGAAGTCTCATTAGACTTCCTGATGTGCACAATAGAAAGCATGATGCTGCCACCACTGTGTTTCTCACTGTGGAGAGTGCGTTCTGGGTCAGTTTTAAAGCCATACGGTAAATGTTGTTTCTTTAGGGCATTCAATGACCTATATACATTTTCCTACATGTTTGCTGTGTCTTTAACACAGAACTGCTTATATCTTTTGTTTGCAGTTACTTTCTTCACACAATTACATAATAACAAAGGGATTTTCAATTCTATTCCACCCTATTCAATTTTAAAACTAGCAGTAAACATTAGTAATATCAATAAACATTGTTTCCTGCTAAAATGTCCTTTTTTGACATCATCATTACAACAAAAGACATAATTAAATCTACTTTAACATAATTTTTGTGTAATGCTTGTCTTCATCTGGTGACACTATGAGTATTTGCAGAGCTGTTTAAAAACAAAAATCTGTTTAATTTTCTTAGCTTTACTTCTCTCTCTCTCAGAGCATGTCTGAAGAGCGGTTCGGCCCACTTGCCTCGAGGTTGCAGGTTGGTCGACCCAGGTGGAAGCTTCTTCTTGATGAAATTGGAAAAAGCAACAAACAGTGAGTTTGAAAGGAGATTTTATAGAAGAACGGATTCATTTGGTTAAAAGTAGCATTACTCCACCTTAGCCTTTTTCTTTCTTTGGTTTCAGCAAGCGAGTTGGTGTTTTCTGTTGCGGACCAAAAGGCATCTCCAGGACTCTCCACAGGCTGTGCAACTCAGCCCGATCATGTGGGACAACCTTTGAATTCAACAAAGAGTCATTCAGCTGATTGAACTTTATGGCCAGATGGAGTGAATGAATAGATTTTCATTCATTTTAGGGCTGAAACTCTTTATCTGCAGTAAACCTCTCAATACCTCAGGGATCCTTTCCTGTCAGGAGTCGTTTGGCATTGAGGAGATGGTCCAAAAACTCAAATATCATCCTGACATCCAGCTGAACGGCCTTATAGCTGCCTCAGGTTCAGCATGTGATTGTGTCAACATGAAGAAACTGCTTCATGCTCAGAGTGCCTGTTCTTAATCCTCTGTTCTTTTCAAGCTTTGACTTAATTCCTCTGTTTCCTCTGCGCAGCATCTTTGTTTCCTCATTCTGGATTTTAATGTGAGAAAGAAAAAACTGCAATATATCAAGGCAGAGGAAATCCATTCTTCTAAGGCCAAAACATGATTTAGTGCAATCACTCAGGGAGGATACATGCTGTTTCTTTTGTATTCCAAACGTAAGGTTTAGCAGCAAGTGTTCCTGTGTGTAAATACTTTAGAAATATGAGGTAGTTAAGTTTCCCAAGTTCTTACCAAATACATTGATGTTTTTTTGTGTGTGTTCAAAAAATATGGAGGAGCTGATGTGAGTGATGTTAGAAGTAGCAATAGTCCAAAACAAAAGGCATGGTAAGGGGTCAGAGAGGATCAAACTCAGGACGGATGGAGCTTTATGGGACTACTGTAGGAGCTGTTAGTCTAACTTAATTTATTGTTTCATTTACCAAAGGCTGGTATCCACAAGGTTTTACCAACTTCTTACTGTAATCATATTACTTTGAGACTTTGTTCTCCTCAGGATGAAAGTTTTTATCGTTAGTTTTGCATAATCCAGTATATCATGTCACCAGAAGCATTGGGACTCTTCTTTTAATGTTTGCTTAAACAAGATAGGAGATATTCAGTTGTTACAGTAAAAAATATTTTGCATCTTAGCAATTTTATTGTCACACTTGAAGCTGAGTTAAATCAATATGCATTTTCTGAATGGCACCTTAAACAGACTGTACATACCCGAACAGTAATTCAGAATAACTGACAGCATTTGTTTTATCACTGAGGGGATTTGAACTTTTTAACTGGGATTGCTTTTTTTTTTCTCTGCCATAAATGAATGTCTTGTTTGAAAACATGTTTTTATCTTTATTAAATTGTAGAAGAATCTTCTTTGGTGTAACTTCTTACTCATCTCCTGTAAGGCTGGGCATACATACTATGTATGTATGCCCAGCTTCCTGTGTTGCTTCCTGTGTTTAGTATATATATATATATATATATATATATATATATATATATATATATATACACTATATTGCCAAAAGTATTTGCTCACCTGCCTTGACTCACATATGAGCTTAAGTGACATCCCGTTCCTAATCCATAGGGTTCAATATGACGTCGGTCCACCCTTTGCAGCTAGAACAGCTTCAACTCTTCTGGGAAGGCTGTCCACAAGGTTTAGGAGTGTGTTTATGGGAATTTTTGACCATTCTTCCAGAAGCGCATTTGTGAGGTCGCACACTGATGTTGGACGAGAAGGCCTGGCTCTCAGTCTCCGCTCTAATTCATCCCAAAGGTGTTCTATCGGGTTGAGGTCAGGACTCTGTGCAGGCCAGTCAAGTTCATCCACACCAGACTCTGTCATCCATGTCTTTATGGACCTTGCTTTGTGCACTGGTGCACAGTCATGTTGGAAGAGGAAGGGGCCAGCTCCAAACTGTTCCCACAAAGTTGGGAGCATGGAATTGTCCAAAATGTCTTGGTATGCTGAAGCATTCAGAGTTCCTTTCACTGGAACTAAGGGGCCAAGCCCAGCTCCTGAAAAACAACCCCACACCATAATCCCCCCTCCACCAAACTTTACACTTGGCACAATGCAGTCAGACAAGTACCGTTCTCCTGGCAACCGCCAAACCCAGACCCGTCCATCAGATTGCCAGATGGAGAAGCGCGATTCGTCACTCCAGAGAACGCGTCTCCACTGCTCTAGAGTCCAGTGGCGGCGTGCTTTACACCACCGCATCCGACGCTTTGCATTGCACTTGGTGATGTATGGCTTGGATGCAGCTGCTCGACCATGGAAACCCATTCCATGAAGCTCTCTGCGCACTGTTCTTGAGCTAATCTGAAGGCCACATGAAGTTTGGAGGTCTGTAGTGATTGACTCTGCAGAAAGTTGGCGACCTCTTCGCACTATGCGCGTCAGCATCCGCTGACCCCGCTCCGTCAGTTTACGTGGCCTACCTCTTCGTGGCTGAGTTGCTGTCGTTCCCAAACACTTCCATTTTCTTATAATACAGCTGACAGTTGACTATGGAATATTTAGGAGCGAGGAAATTTCACGACTGGATTTGTTGCACAGGTGGCATCCTATCACAGTTCCACGCTGGAATTCACTGAGCTCCTGAGAGCGACCCATTCTTTCACAAATGTTTGTAAAAACAGTCTGCATGCCTAGGTGCTTGAATTTATACACCTGTGGCCATGGAAGTGATTGGAACACCTGATTCCAATAATTTGGATGGGTGAGCAAATACTTTTGGCAATATAGTGTATATATATATATATATATATATATATATATATATATATATATATATATATATATATATATATATATATATACAAAGTGATAAAAGTCTTAAGTCCCCCTGAAAATGAGAACGTCATTGATGTTCGATGCTGTAGTGCGCATATTGTTTACAGTGATACAGGTCTAACTAGGAAGTACCAATGTGGCGGCCGGTTGCTGCACTTCAACCTGTAGCCTACTACCAATGGGGAATCAGCAATCCAGTGAATAAATAGAGATCATCACCCTGTGCGTGTGCAAACACGGGAATTCTTCCTCTTCTTCCAGATTGGCAAGTCGACCAGCGCCATCTCTCGGCGCTGAGTCTGATGTGTGTTTTCATCCGTTAGATCGTATCAGCACATTGGGCAGTACAGTGTAAGAACATAAATCTGGAGCTGTGAACTTTTAAACCCTGTGATTTCATCATACAGTTTGAGCTGGCACTGAGTATAACGAAAAAAAAAAAAAAACATACGGTGTATCCCCAGACTAAGCAGTGTGGATAAAACATGTCATATTTGAAAATAGTTTAATTCTCTATATGCATGGAGTTCTGAAAACCTTTTAAACCAGTTATTTTGTGACAGTATCAACAAAGTCATTTGTGACTTACCGGTTATTAACGTGAGTTTATATAATCATGTTAAATAGGAAGCTTAGACAGGCTTGGTGCTGTTTCTGCTGTGTTTGTATCCTCAGTCGCAGTTACAGGTCTATTCACCCTCTAGTTTCTAGTCAGGTTGATTGGTTTTCTCCTCCTGTTTGGCAGTATTTTAACTGTCCAATATATGTTGGTTGATTACCTCACCAGTTAAGTTTTTTCCCTACAAGTTCTCCTTAAATGATTTGGCAGTGTTTTCACTGTTTTCTATACGTTCTCCTCTTGAGTCATCTAATAGACTCACTGGTAACATTTTTCTGAGACTTGTTGAGTCCTCTACGAGTATCCCTTGTTGTTTGGAAAGGGCCTGGCCTTGCTGAGATATGTTATTGTGGCTGTTTATTGTCTGGGTGGCGGATCTTCGTGACCTTGTTTGTTTGTATAAACCAGTGCTTGCAGCACTGCCTCTGGTGGTAAGTAGGGATCAAATTGAGAGACAGAAAGGATCCTGGTATAATTTAAATAAATTGAGGAAAGCAGCAGTTTTTTCTGAAACCCCCATGCTTCCCTTTCCCCAAACATCTCTTCCTGGTCTGCTGGGGCGGGAGCTCTCAGCCCAGATGAAAGATATAGTCCCTCTGGTGTCCTGGGCCCCTCCTTGTGGGACGTGGCTGATTCGGATGCTTAGGAGAGGTTCCAGAGGGGACTCGCATCCCTGGATGTGAGCCCTGGCTTCAAAACTCTCTTCCCTCCATTTAAAACAGATGTCTGAGCCACCTCAGCTGACTCCTCTTGATGTGGAGGAGGAGTGGCTCTACTCCAAGCCTTTCATAAATCCAACTATGAAGTGCCCGGCCACTCTGCAGAGAAAGCCCATTTATGTCACTTGTTACCCTTTTCTTTCATGACACAGCTAAAACACAGTCATCACATTGTTACTAATCTGGTGTTCTGTGACCAAAGATGCACCATTTTAAACTGTTTCAGAGAGTCTTTGCTGCATATTCAGTCAGTTTTTTTTTTTATCTATTCTTTCAATGAAATTTTTAATTATTAAAGAAAATCCCATTCAAGTTTTTTGATGCAGAGTGTTGATAGTTTTCAGTTACACAGCAAAATAAAATAAAATTAAGTTTAAATACTCTGTTAAAATATTAATTCCTTAGCATAAACTTGCTAGTTTTTGGTCGCTGGCAGAACCAAGAGTATTTTTATTTGATGGAGGTCAGGATATATTTGAAGTTGTCTTTATTTTATTTTATTTTCTCCTTCAAAAAAAATAAAAAAATACTTGTATTTTCTTACTGTGAGGCAGAATTACCTTTTTAGCTGTGACTTGGGTGAAGCAGTTTGTATGTTTGTCCATCTTCTGGCCTGTTGGCCCATTCCTCTGTATAGAACTTGTGCACCTGAATCTGGTTTGCATGTCACCTTGCTCTCACATACTAAGATTTATGATGGGCACTCTAAAAGATTGACTGTGTTGTCCTTGAGCTTCTTCTTATCTAATTTGGTGTGATGATTGAGGTTTTAGCCCATTTTGAAAAAGTCTTTTTCTCCTCCTCTCTGAGTAGTTTTTCAGACCATGTTCAATACAGGATTCACTCCAATGATTAATGGCATTCTCTTACCAGGTTTGGTCTGCATCTTCACACATGAAGACACCAAAACACATTTATTTATGGGACGCAACTATTATATTTTTCCTACAAAATTACTTTCCCCCCGCTTTTTATTCTAGCATATAGTTTGTTTGTATTTTTAAACACAGAACTATGGCATACGACACATCTGCTAATAGTTTGATTTCATTAATTTATACAACAGTGAAAAAAACATGTTTTCTTTTTTCAGCTTGCCTTGCTTTCAAATGCAAATTTAAAAAGAAAATATCTTTTTGAAAGTATAATTTCTGCTTCTACAAATTGTTAGTTACATTTCTGAGGAACTATTATAGTGTAAATTTCTTTGGTAAAATAACTTCTTTAAAAAATGAATTAAATATATTTTTTTAATTCATTGTATTTTGATAATGTGTATTTAATCCATTGTTATATGGTCTTGAGATTGTGAGAGCTGCATTTCCATCAACACACTTTATTGGCTACACATCTGTAATCTTGTTATGTGAAACAAGATAAAATTGATTCATTGTGAAATTATTTGTCTAACTACCAAATAATCAGTTGTACGATGAGGTTCACACTCCTTAATGTCACTGAATGAAAATATTTCTCAATAGCAGCACATCCATATTTCTACCACTAAAGAAGTGTAGATCTGTTTTTAGCATTTTAAAATAGCAGTCACGTCTTGGAATATATTTTTTAATCAGCTTTCCTGTTTTCCCAACATATAATCACAGAGTAATCAGTATTCATATAAACTCATACAAACTCATGATTGATATAGATATGAATCCAACATTTAATTTTATTTTGTAACGTAAGGCATTGTATCACACAGTTATATTATAGCACCATTGTGAACCCACAAAATATTGGTTATGATTCATTTTTCTCCGTTATAGAAGAGTGCAGACCTGAATGGCTGAAAGACTGACTGTGAATCAGAAACATTTTAGGCCATCTGTATTATGGAGTTTCTATGAAATGCTTGCACAAAGAAAATACAGATTTGATAATATATACAGAATAAAAGGTTGGACCTCAGTTTATTAGCTCAAAAGAACGCCACAGAGAGGGTTCAAGTTTCCTTACAGATTCCATAATCTTAATGATTCAACATAAGGATGTGACATTAACAGCTTGTGCAAACATTACCACACCTAAGATTGTACTTTAGCAGCAGTGGAGGTATTTAATATTTAAAGACTTTGCATGATTAGAGTTTTAAAACCCTACTTTTTTTCATGTAAATGGAATTTCTTACCTTAGATTGGAAAGTGCTGTATTGTATATAATAAAAATATGTCATAAATAATAGTTCTGTTTCACTTAATGAGAAAAATATGAAGAT